ATTCCTCCTCACCACTATGAGTTCAATAAAGAGCATGAAATCCACTCTCGACTCTGGTATATTTCACATTCTATGGAGCCACTTTGCCCTGAAGCTTTGCTAGAAAGTACAGGCAAAAGGGAAGGAGCCTGAGCAGTGTGAGCCCCTTCTAAAACTTTTGAAAAGAAAGAACCCTTGTCCCCCCCCCCCCCGGTAAAGGTAAAGGTACCCCTGCCCGTACGGACCAGTCTTGACAGACTCTGGGGTTGTGCGCCCATCTCACTCAAGAGGCCAGGGGCCAGCGCTGTCTGGAGACACTTCCGGGTCACGTGGCCAGCGTGACAAAGCTGCATCTGGCAAGCCAGAGCCGCACACGGAACACCATTTACCTTCCCGCTGGTAAGCGGTCCCTATTTATCTACTTGCACCCGGAGGTGCTTTCGAACTGCTAGGTTGGCAGGCGCTGGGACCGAGCAGTGGGAGCGCACCCCGCCGCGGGGATTCGAACCGCCGACCTTTCGATCGACAAGCCCTAGGCGCTGAGGCTTTTACCTACAGCGCCACCTGCGTCCCCCTTCCCCCCGGTACATCTATGGTTAATTGGAAGCCCCATCTCTCCCTTCCAAAAGGAGTGAGCCACTTCGGGCTTGAGGGCTCCCTGGGTAGTACAAGGCCTCTTGTCTCATACACCTCAACTGCCCCGATTCTCCCATGACGGTCCTGGAATTGGTAAAGCCATCACAGCTTCTGACTCGAAATCAGGACATTCCGATTTCAAGACTTTGTCCCTGCCTCTCTGTCCAAACATGGCGACCCGCTCCAAACTTGGTGGCATGGCCTGATGACGCCATTCGCCAGAGCATCGCCGGAAGCAGAGACAGGGAGGGGGGCATGGTTTGGAAGGGGCCACGGTGCAAACCCATCAACTGCTGCTTTTGAGGCCAGGAAAGTGCCGGCACAGCCTGCCTCTTACTTCACCAAATGTTTTTTGAGTCAGACGCAGCCGTGAGTCTCTCATGACACCTGATTTGGTCTTTTGTGTGGTTCTAACTTGACTTTTCAAAGCTCAGTACTTAACTCAATAAAGGAATGCTCTGGCCGTTGTTAAAGGGTGATGCAGAAATACCTACGGCAACTTTGCAAGAGAAGCATGTTATCATCTCACAGAGCAGAGGATCTATTTGGCTTTCGTACGTGTCCTCAGGTCAGGAGCAGCATGTTCCAGTTCTATCACCTTGTGAGCCCTGTCCCTCAGTCCTGATGGTCAGTAACAATGGTTTTACTCTGTTCCTTATTATTTCCACATCTTTTAAAAAATGGACATGCTGTCAGCAGCTCTGGAGGAAGAACACTGATTTCAGCACAGAGGTGTTAACAAAGAGATTTAGCAAAAGTAATTTTGACAAAGAACAGGTGCTTGCTGTTTCACTTGCGAATGTATTTGTACTTACCATAAGTGAAATCTTCTTAATGATTCTGAATCATACATCTCACATAGGTATGATTCAGAAGGAAAAAGGGTATCCAGCTTTTGTAGCCGGGTGCTCAAGACAATTTTGTAGTAATATTTGAGAGTGAAACCAACTTTCCACAGAGGGAGATGCTTTTGTTTATTTATCTATCTGTTGCATCCACACACCTCAAGGGAATGTACAAAATGTAATAAAAACCAGCTAACAGGATGAAGCTGATGAAGGGACGCGGGTGGCGCTGTGGGTAAAACCTCAGCGCCTAGGGCTTGCCGATCGCATGGTCGGCGGTTCGAATCCCCGTGGCGGGGTGAGCTCCCGTCTTTCAGTCCCAGCTCCTGCCCACCTAGCAGTTCGAAAGCACCCCTAAAGTGCAAGTAGATAAATAGGCACCGCTCTCTAGCAGGAAGGTAAACGGCGTTTCCGTGTGCTGCGCTGGTGCCGGCTCGCCAGAGCAGCTTTGTCACGCTGGCCACGTGACCCGGAAGTGTCTCCGGACAGCGCTGGCCCCCGGCCTCTTAAGTGAGATGGGCGCACAACCCTAGAGTCGGACACGACTGGCCCGTACGGGCAGGGGTACCTTTACCTAACAGGATGAAGCACTCTAAGGGAAGTTTTTAATGTGTGAAATTTTAATGTATTTTTAATCTTTGTTGGAAGCCGCCCAAAGTGGCTGGAGTACAAATAATAAATAATTATAATTATATAGAAAGATAGCAATAAATGGGAAAACTCATAGAGTTGGAAGGGGCCACGAGAGTCATCTAGTCCAACCCCCTGCAGTGCTGGAATCTTTTGCCCAGCAAGGGACTCAAATTCCATAAATAACGCATTAAGTTTTGAAAGCAAATGGCAAACTATAATTGGTTTGGTGGATGCTTCTGTTCTTCCCCTGAGCAATGGAATCAAGGATTTGATTTGAAAAGCAGCATAATATAACATTAAGTTAGGCATTGCCATCCCTACTTTTGTTCTATGTCTGTTGAGAATTTTGTTGCTTATCCCAGATTTTTTTGCCTCCTGACACAAATGCATTGAGTTTGTTTTGCTATCTCTTTAGCTGAAGAGGAGGGATGGGAAGAGGCAAAACTTGGGGTGGAAAGAGTAAGAACTTAGGTAACACAGACATTTTGACCACGCCAATCACCCAAGCCAGCTGAGGCTGAGATGTTTCCATTACCTAAGTTCTTGTTGAATGCCTTTATACAGTCCCCTATAGTTTCTAAGTCCCAGTTGTCTTGTGCCTGCCATGAGATTAATAGCTAAGTACTTAAATCTTCCATGCACTGTGGCAAATGGAGAGGAAACTAGTCACAAGTCTCTTCTAGTGTCATCTAAATTGATAGGAAGGAGCACGGATTTAGAATAGTTGATTTGCAATCCTGCTACAACTGTGATACGTTTCTGTCATTGTGACTCAAGGGCTGCTGTTGGATTTTGCAAAAATAAGAGGGTGTCATCTGCAAACATATTCACTTTGTGTACCTCGTTCTGCACGTTGACCCCATCTATAGAAGTGTCTGCATAGTTGGATGACCAACGCAAACAACAATGGCAACAGAGGGCAGCTCTTTAAAAGACCTATAGCTTGAGCATCAAAGCCATTGATTGAAATGATTGCCTTTGATTTGGAGTATAGTTGCTGAATGAGGTGCAAGAACTTAGATCCAAATTTAAATTTGTTTAGCAGGTGTGTCAAAAACAATGAATCAATTCTATCAAAAGCCTTATAGTCATCAAGAGAGAGCAATGAACCAGCTCTTTTCTTTCCATTCAACTCGTGTATAATGATAATCAGTAGGTTACACCCTGAACTTGATTGCACAGGTTTTGCCTACACAATTTCAGCTAAGATCACTTCTTGAGAGTCATGCATGAAGGGAGCAATCATGGTGATGAGATCTGAACCAAGGGCTTTACACCTCGGTGTCATTACAGTTCAATCGGCTGTGTCTCACCTCCTCTGTCCACTAGGTGCAAGAGCTTAAAGGCTGTGCAACAAAGGAGTCCCAAACTTGATAGGTAACAGCTGATTCTGGCTGCACAATCTGTGGCACAACAATTTTTGGTAATGTTCTTGCACTATCTCTTGTGCAAGAAGTATAACACCAAGCGACTTTAACTTGGTGCTATGCTGGATACAGGGACGCGGGTGGTGCTGTGGGTTAAACCACAGAGCCTAGTGGGATCACTTTCTGAGCTCGAAGCATGGGTACCCCCAACAAAAATTTAAAAATTTGGCTTTGTAATTTGGAATTAATGTGGTTTGATTGGTTTGTTAATAAAAATTATATTAAAAAAATTAAAATAAACCGCAGAGCTGATCAGAAGGTTGGTGGTTCAAATACCCATGACGGGGAGAGCTCCCATTGTTCGGTCCCTGCTCCTGCCAACCTAGCAGTTCGAAAGCACGTCAAAGTGCAAGTAGATAAATAGGTACCACTCCAGCAGGAAGGTAAACGGCATTTCCGTGCGCTGCTCTGGTTCACCAGAAGCGGCTTAGTCATGCTGGCCACATGACCCAGTAGCTGTACAACGGCTCCCTCGGCCAATAAAGTAAGATGAGCTCTGCAACCCCAGAGTCGGTCATGACTGGGCCTAATGGTCAGGGGTCTCTTTACCTTTACCTTTATGCTGGATACAACCCAATATCTTTCCCTCAAATGATTTTTTTAAAAAAGCAAAGCAGACAGAACTTAAAAACAAAACAAAATGTAATAGATCTTGTGCACCACTTCACAATATTTACACGGTTAAATAAGTTTACCATCTTCAGTTTAACATCAATTAACATTAATTCTCGTGATTTTGAGTAGGCAAATACCTGCTGAAAACACAGGCGGCCACCAATTTATAAACCCACACACATATTAACAAATCAATAAGCAAACAAAGCTTAGTCAGACAATAGGAAGCAAACATTTTTCCTGGATTATGTCCAGTGTTGCCACAATGAAGCATTTTGAGTTTGGGTGGACCCTTGGCAACAGACTGGAGACGTGGCAGGCAGGGGAAAGGGTCTTAGCGTCTTCCCTGTACTTTTTCCTGAAGTGAACCAACCATATATTTGGGAACCCAGCTAGGAAAAAAGCTACCAGGTGAGAGAGATGAAAGGGAGAAATTTGTTGTTGTTGTTTAGTCATTTAGTTGTGTCCGACTCTTTGTGACTCCATCGACCAGAGTACGCCAGGCACTCCTGTCTTCCACTGCCTCCCGCAGTTTGGTCAAACTCATGCTGGTAGCTTCAAGAACACTATCCAACCATCTCGTCCTCTGTCGTCCCCTTCTCCTTGTGCCCTCCACCTTTCCCAACACTAGGGTCTTTTCCAGGGAGTCTTCTCTTCTCATGAGGTGGCCAAAGTATTGGAGCCTCAGCTTCAGGATCTGTCCTTCCAGTGAGCACTCAGGGCTGATTTCCTTCAGAATTGATAGGTTTGATCTTCTTGCAGTCCATGGGACTCTCAAGAGTCTCCTCCAGCACCACAATTCAAAAGCATCAATTCTTCAGCGATCAGCCTTCTTTATGGTCCAGCTCTCACTTCCATACATCACTATTGGGAAACCCATAGCTTTACCTATACGGACCTTTGTTGGCAAGGTGATGTCTCTGCTTCTTAAGATGCTGTCTAGGTTTGTCATTGCTGAAAGGGAGAAATAGCAGGAGGCAATTGGGTTAAGCGCTCCCTGTCTTGACTGCTGCCTTTCTTCTCCAAATCACAACCTTCACTCTTCTCAAGTGTTTGATGGAACCACAGGTTCCAAGGCCTGGGCCTGATGCCCAAAGTCTGGTTTCATGCTCAAGCACATGCCTCCCCCACAGAAATCAATTAGACATAAAATTACTAAAATCTGGGAGGCTCATTTCCACTAATGTTCTACAAAAACACCCCTGACCAGAGTCCAAGCTTGTATTTCCCTTTCATTTACCTTCTGCTTTTTCAGCAATGTTGTTTTCCCCCCAGTAGCTGTTGTCTTATGTGTATTTTATCTGATGAACTGTGGTCTTTTACACTTTTCTTTCGCCTCTTTTTCCCCAAGCTGATGCTTTCACATTCTTTAAATTCTAAATAACATTTTAAAAATGAGCAGAGGGAGAGAGATAATGTATTTTCAAGCTTCTCCACTGCAGATCAAAGTCGAATCCTCATCATACTTTTCCTATAAAGCTTTGTACTTTGTTCTTAGTATGAGGACTGTAGCTCAGTGGGAAAAGCAAACGTCCTGCATGCATAAAGCTCCTTAATCAAGTCCTGACATCTCCAAATAGGCCTGGGACAAACTCCTGTCTGAAACCCTGGAAAGGTGATGCTAGATGAATCAACCGTCAGGCTTGCTATAAGGTTGGTTTCTGTGTTCCGATTAACTGTTCTGGGCTGTAGTTCTAGGCTGAAGCACCCGCTCTGAAGGCAAGGGGTTCCAGGATAAGACAAGTGGTAGATAAGACAAGAAAAATGTTGAACTGTGGCAGCTGTGGAAAATTCCAGGCACGTTCCACCATATGTGGTGGGCATGCAAAATAACAAAAGCAATCTGGGAAATGATATATAACGAGTTGAAAAAATGCTTAAAATAACCTTTGTGGAAAAACCAGAAGCTTTTCTATTGGGCGTTTTTGGTGCAGAAAAGCCAAAGGAAAGACTATTTAAGTATGTGACGACAGCAGTGTGGATACTTTTGGGCCCGCAGATGGAAAGAAGACAAAGTCCCGTCCAGAGAAGAATGGCTGATAAAAATGATGGATTACGCCGAAATGGCAAAAATGGCCGGGAAGATCAGAAATCAAGAAGACAGAAATTTTAATAAGGAATGTCAAAAATGTGTAAGTTACCTTGGAGAACACTGTAAGCAACTAAAAACTTTGGCAGGACTATAACAATACTTGTAATGTTACAAGAACTATGGGGAAATGGGGAATTTTAAGAAAATGGAGAATCTTATAAGATGCAGTTGAAAAAGGAATGTCAATGGAACCCACAGAGGGGCAGAGGAAAGTCCAAGGAATCAGGGAATCCTTTATGATTATGATTTGAACACAAATGTAAACTGCAAAAACCAATAAAAAATTGTAAAAAAGAAAGGAAAAGGCAAATTCCACAATGTGGTTGAATAATGGGAGATGCATGAGAGGCCAAATGGGTTTTTTTCCTTCCACACAACACATAACCTATGGCATTCACCATGAAAAGTGAACAGTGCATAAGGCGATCGACAGCTGCTAGCTATGAAGGCTGTGTATTACCTCCCAGACTGCAGGCAGTGGTCTCCAAATACCAGGGGAAAGCGCTGCTTGCAGACTCCAATAGGCACCTGGTCAGCCACTAGAAGAACAGGAGAATTTGGGCCTTTGGACAGATCCAGCAGGACTCTTACTGTGCTCTTATTTAAGATACAGCTATGGCTCTCCAAAGCCCTAATGGTTTTGGATCAGGTTATTTGAAAGACCAGCTTCCCTCTCAGATTAGCACCAGAGGCCATTCTCACATGTCCATGACTGAGATTTATCTGGCTTTCATGAGAAACGGGGGCTTTTTGTTTGTAGCCCCATAATGGCGGAAGTCTTTTCTGGGTGTGACATGTGTGATTGCCTCCCCCCTTCTTTTGGGCTGGAAGTGAGTTTTAAAGACCGACCTATTCTGAATTGCCTTTTCCTAGAAACATGCTGGGACTGAAATGTTAACATTTAAGTAGATTTAATGATATTATGCTGGTCTGATACTGTAATTTTAAACACTGTGGTTATCTTTCATGCTTACTATATGTTATTGTTTTAATGGTGGTTGATATGTTGTTTGTATTTTTGACTTGTGTATTGTATTTTCCTTTTCATGGAATCTGCCATGTGAGGCCAAGTGCCCTAAAAGGCAGCCTACAATTATCACAAATAAACAAACATTTGAGGGGGTGGGGAGATCAACCAGATTCATAACAATGAGAGAAAATGCACATATGATACAGTTAAGGGGGAATGTGATGGTCGCACACATCTTTGACTCAGTGGTGGCCTTTGTTACATCTTGGAAGGGATGTGAACATGAGTTTGGCTTTGCTGCAACACATCTGATTGGCAAGGACTTCTGGCCTCATTAGTGGGGATAGGTATGATGGCAGTGATTTTGTATTATTTGGACTTCATATGTAAGTTTGTGTGTGTGAATGGTGTGTGACGCTTCCATTAATCGAAATAATTCTCTTCTGCCTAAACTCCACTGAATTTCGACTTCACTGGTGCCCCTGATGTTTTTAAGGCAGAAAAAACCTCCTGCTAACACAGGGACATCATGCAGTGCAGAAATGCTTGTGAGGCCCCTGGGTCATCAAGAGCTCAGTAGAAGATGTGCTTTGCATGCAGAAAACCCCATGCTCTCTATGGTGAGGAAGCCCTGGTTGCAGCTCTGAGAGACGCTTCGGCCTGAGACAGCAAAGATCCCATCGATGACAGTGAGCTACACAGATCTGAGTCAGCACATGACATGAGCTGTGTCTGAGCAAGCTTTTGATGAAGATGAGCCAAGATGGCGGGCTCTGATGCAGAGCTTAGTTACTTGGGTAGGAGAAGACGGGCCTGCCCATTATTATTTTTAATTCCCGGCCTCTCTTTCATGCCTCTCTGGCTTGCTAAAGTGCTGCCTCTACTTCAGCCCTGCTATCCGTCACCTCCTCGTTAAGAGAGCCTGCGCAATGGCCCTGAAGCATAAAGGGCTCCTTAAGAGAAACAGCATCCAGCTTTTTCTCCTCCTCCTCCTCCTCCTCTTCTTTTTCAGCCTCTTCATGAGTCCACCAGTGCACACAGTCCTGTTCAGAGTTGCTCCTAACATACCCGGGCAAAGTTATCTGGGTGTCGTTCTGCCGGGTGACGTTTTTGCCAGCCCTGGTGGAAATCACGACCATGCGGGAACTGGCCGCCATCTGAGACTGGCTGCTGGTGCTGTGCGTCATGTTCATGTGGACAGAGCCATAGCGATAGCTCCCACAAGGAGCCGTCCTCTCCCAGTCCACAGCCAGGTTCCACCTGGCCCAGGTCTTCTTGATCTCAGCCTGCACCTGGAGGAGAAGGAAATGGCCAGATCAAAACGCAAAGGAAGAGTGTTAGGCCAATGTCGCCGTCTTCTTCTTCTTTAAAAAATAATTTTGAATATAGGAACAAACATACAGCTCCCCTGTTCCTCACCATAACAACTGCAACTATGTCCAGTTGTGTTAGTAATAATAAAATGAAACATTCATTCAGTTAGTATTTGCTTGGACTGCCAAATTAAACTTGGAGCCATGCCTACTCTTCAGCTGAAGCATTAAGGGGCAAGTGGAAACTGTGGTGAGTGGGTAGGAGAGCACAATGATATATGTTTTGGAGGTATATACAGTATATTAAAAAAAACTATGCAGCAGAAGGACAGAGAGCCACACCAGACACAGAAGCTCTGCTGAAACAACAAGAGCTGGTTATTTATTTATTTAGCTGTTATTTCTAACACCATGAGGTCCAAAAATAGAGAGATCTTATCTGGAATCTACATCAAATATTAGTTCCAGTCACTGCACAAAACAACGACCTAAAGACATGAAATTTAATTATTGCGTTGCGCTTTGTGAGAACTATTTAAGAGAGAAAAAGTTATTCAAGTGTTTATAAGTCATGGTCATGACTCAGATCTCTCTGTCTCTCCTTCTTTCCCACCCTTAGCAAACCTGAAGAATAATGCCCAGAGGGCAGTAAGTTGATTAAGCCAACTAATGAGGTGCAACAAGAGTGGCTGGTAAATTACAAATGAGGTCCCTTCACTCATTTCTAATGGAAACAAGCTTTCTCTCCTGCCTCCACCTTGTGTTGGCATATGGCTGGAGAGAGTCCTTACTGGTTTTTAACAAACTGCACTTTCTTGGACAGAACCCAAGAGTGCCATACTCTAGAAGTAAAACCAATGCAATCTCATTGGAAGCATTTTGTAAGAAGAGAAATCGAAATTATAAATAGAAGCTGGGATCCAAAGCAACAGGCACAGTCTTCCTCTCATGCTTTACAGGTCATTTCAATCACACATATATAATTATGTGTTTCTTTATACCTAAACATCTGCCTTATTAAAAATGTGTGTGTGTGTGTGTGTGTGTGTGTGTGTGTGTGTGGCTTGGAACAGGTAGCAACTTCTTAAAATCTCGTTCACTGTCCCAAATACACCTGCTGACTAGGCCATGCCCCGCCCCCCCCATTTCACAGCTAGGAAGGCCACCTGTCCCAATTCATCTAGTGACTTACCTCTCCATTACAGTAGCAGTAGAGGATGGAGACAAAGAAACCCTGCAGGAGAATAAAGAACAATGAAAGAATATCAGTCATTTCACCATCTCCACTTTGAAGCAAGAATTACACATGGATGCAGCTGAACTGAAATTTGTGAACGAGGGGCTAAAAAGTGAGATGCAATATTTTAATATTTCAGTAATAAGTACTATATATATATATATATATATATATATATATATATATATGCATCCTTTGAGCCAAACGGCAGCTCCTGTATGTCTGCTGGCCCTAAGCCAATTGACACCATAAGCAAGGAAGATACTCAGGTGCCCTATTAGCTGATGCCCCCGATGGCCTGGCATCTCCATGACTGGCTCTTGCACCCAGGAGAATACTTGAAGGACTCAACAACAGAGCCGGAGCCTTTCCCATGGAATCAGCACCCTACCAGGGTGCAAGAATACATCACCAGTTCTTTGAAACAAAATCTCGCACTCGCACCAGAGCACCGAACCAAAAAACGAGGAAAGTCCCAACCAAAGAAGAGTTTGATAACCAAGATGATGGACTATGCTGAACGGCGAAGATAACTCTGAAGATCAGACACCAAGATGATAAAAAATAATAATCAAGAATGGAATTTTTTTTATAGAGTATCTTAAAGACCACTGTAGATATCTAAAAACGATAGCAGGATTGTTATAACACTTATAATGTAAAATGACTTAAGTTAAAAAAGGATAAACATGAAATTGAAAAATGTAATTAGATGCAATAGAACGAATAGAAAAAATTGGAAACCATGGGGGGGGGGGTTCCAGCGATTTAAGTAATCTCAGATGTGTAAAAATTGAAAATGATTTAAATGTATACAGTGGTATCTCGGGTTAAGTACTTAATTCGTTCCGGAGGTCCGTATTTAACCTGAAACTGTTCTTAACCTGAGGTACCACTTTAGCTAATGGGGCCTCCCGCTGCCTCTGCGCTGCTGGAGCACGATTTCTGTTCTTCTCCTGAAGCAAAGTTCTTAACCTGAAGCACTATTTCTGGGTTAGCGGAGTCTGTAACCTGAAGCGTATGTAGCCTGAGGTACCACTGTATGAACATTGTTATAAAAAAACAAAAATAAAGTATTAAAAAACAAAAGCAAAAGACGAGACATTCCAGGATCAAACCAGCAGCTGGGAATGGCTTCCATGATCTGGGATGTCTCACTAAAAATGGGGCAATTGGCAGGTCTGTGCAAATCAGCCCCAGTCCACATGTGGATGGGTGATTCAAATGTTGCCCCAGCGATGTAAGAGCGATTCACAACAAACGAGTGGGCTAAATAAGATGGGTTACAAAAAAGCCCCACAACAACCCACAAACCCTGTTGTCATTAACACATTTGTGATAATAGCATTTTCTAAACAAACAAGTTGGAGAGAAGACAAATTTTGGGAACTGGTGGCCCGGGGTTTAAATGAAGTGAGATCATCACAGGAAGTCTCAATTCCTGCCTCTGATTGGGTTAAATATTTCTCCAATATATGTGTTGGTCAGTCTGGACAATCACACATGCCAGTAGTGTGTAATGATTTTTCAAACATTCCTAAAACACAACTAGTCTCCTGTATGAGACAAAGGCCCTTATTTCCTGCCTGAAATCGAAGAAAACTCCTGGATAATATTTGCTTCCCTCTGAACTCTACAAGGATTACATTTAATGGTGGAGACCTATACTGGCTGACTTATTTACCAGCATAAACAGCCCAGGCTAAACGCCCTCTGGGTGGACAATGAAAGTCATTTTAGTGATTTGTAAGAAAGGGAACAGGAAGGAGCCACAAAACTATTGGCCAATTAGCTGGTTAGACTTCTCCTCCAAACTATATGCACAGTATTTCCTTCAACAATTAACTGACTGGATGCAAAATGGCAACGTTATTCATGTAGACCAAGCGGGGTTCAAAGGACTGATCAATGTTTTACTCTGAACCATATTGTAAGGAAACACACAAAGAAGAAGAAACTTTATGCAGCTTCCATTGATCTTTCTGCTGCATTCAATTCTATTTATCGAAAGAGACTGGGGGAGAAATTTCAAATTACCAACGCTGACTGTAGATTTCTGCTATTGATTCAAGAACTATACAGGAACACAGGAAATACAAACAAGTCATCTCTTCTGTTATATTGTAACTTTTAAAAAAACCTGATGCTTATTGTTGTAATCATCTCAGGTGATCTGCTTTGTGAGTTTCACCTGAGGCTGCGTTTGGACCGCGCATTTAAAACGCATGGGGCAGGAGTAAACTGCATCCCATCAGCGGAAGTCCTAGTCAAGGACTTCTATTTTCCCACCTCTCCTCCATCTGTGCCTCCAGAAATTCCCAGCATCCTTGGCATACCACAGTTCCCAGAATTCTTTGAGTCATGCCAGGCACATCAAATGTATTATGATGTGTGTGCCGCATGAAAAGAGGTATGCAAGAGCCTTAAATGAACATAAACTTGAGCAATGCATTGATCTTACTCTATTTCCATGGTGTTGCCACTCTTTTTTAAAAAAATATATTTTATTAAGGATTTTCTTGTTTTACAGAAGTGTAGTGCCTCGTATTTTTTTTTCATGTAACATTTTTACAAATCCGTTTCATTTGTTGAGGCATTAGGGGGAGAAGAAGAAAAAAAGAAAAGAAAAAAGAAAGGGGGTGGAGAGAAGGAAGATGGATAGGGGTGGGGTCGGGTGGCGGTGTTTCTATTATGTTTAATGTATGTAGAGTTTGGTGTCAGCGTTGTTTGTGCTGTTCACTTGTGTTCCTTTGGTGGTGAGAGAGGTTGGGGTTGGCCTAGGGTGTGATTGTTTGCTTGTGATTGGCTGTGGTGATCTTTGTTTTCGTGTGTGAGTGAGGTGGGTGGGTGTTTTGGATCAGGTTAGCCAGCTTGATTTGTATGCTGTTGGTGGATTATTGTCATTGTCCTTTTGGGCTGTGTATGTGATAAAGGGGAGCCATACCGGGGTGAAGGTGTCTTCTTCTGTTTGTCCCCGTGTCAGTTTCAGTTTATTAGTTAATTTTTCTAGTAGGGCTGTTTCCCATACTATTTGGTACCATTGGTCCATGCTTACTCCTGACAGGTCTCTCCAGTGTCTAACACCAGAAACCAAAAGAATCCCAGACTGATAGGAAAAGGAAGCAGGTTTTATAAGAGACAAACAGAATCAGAGGGGTAGATCTTCATAGGGCCTTCCTGTGGCAATCCACAAAGAAAACAAGAAAACAACGGAAGAGTTTTGCAGCACCTACTTTGAAGGACTACGCATCTTTGCTGCAAATGAACACATACAGCTGCAGCTGAGTTTGGATGATCAAAGGCTGGCTCTTTCAGCACTTTACAAAAAAACCAAACCAGACTCACAGGAAACAAACACGGGGCTTATATAATAGCTTTAAACATGTGTCACTTTAGCAGAGAGCAAAAGAGAAGGAAGAAAGAAGATGCAATGTTTGGATTCATATTCATTTTGTCTTCCCTCTTCTGCATCTGTTAAAAATGTCAAGGTGCATTTAAAGCACAAGTGCTGACCCAGTGGCCTTTCAGAGGTTGTTGAACTCCAATTTGAATCTGCCCCAGACAACATGGCCAATGGGTGAGGGTGACAGGAGTTGAAGCCCAGCAACCTCTGGAGCTAGACACCCCACTCATCCCCCCCCCAAAAAAATCAGTGAAAACTGGTTGCATGAGTTTGAAGCAGAAGCCTGCTCTGCACAGCACTGATTGGCTAAATCTTCCTCCAGTTCCTGCAGCAGTTTTGCGCAACATTATTACAATGGGGAGCACTTTTTCTTTTTTTAAATCACTTTATTGCTTTATAATTGGGGAAAAAATCAATAAAATATCAGTTAAAAAACCCCAAAACAACAGGTAGCACTTCTTGTTTTAAAATGGTGGCAAATGAGACACAAGATCTACCCACTCTGGAAGAATGGCAGATGAAGGTGATGGATATGGAACTGGCGGAAATGACTGGCAGAATCCAAGACCAGGGAGATGTGTCGGTGGAAGAAGATTGGAAGAAATTTAAAGACTATTTACAGAAATATTGTAAAATTAATGAATGTTAGAATGATGTTGGATAGAAACTAAGTGGTTTTTAGCTGCAATACTATAAGGGAATATGAAAAATGGATTATTAATAGGTAAAGATTTAATGTTACAATACTTTAAGATTAAAGATTAGGATAAACAAAGAGGGGAAGGATTTGCTGAACCAACAAACTGAATTGGAATACAAAAAAGGGAGGCGTGAGGAGGTCCGGGAAACAAGCTAATGAAAAACAAGTAATGGAAAGATTGAGATGTTTTTAATTATTTTTATTTTGTATTGTTCTTTTCTCTATTTTTATTTTGTAATATTTTGAAAATCTTAATAAATATCTTTTAAAAATAAAAAATAAAATGGTGGCAAATGAGCGTTTTATGGGAAACTTTAAAACATTTCTGAAGGAAGCCACCAAGCCAGCCTAAACTGGGAAGGGCTGATGATGGGGCAGGCATGGAGAGAGAAAGAGAGACCAGTCACTAAATCAGCACTGGAATCGTTGGTATTTACACCTGCCTTCTGCATAGTAAAAGATGCTGAGCAAACCCTGCAAAAGGGGGGGGGGAGCACAGCAAATGCAAACTCTTAAAGTTAACCTAGGCACAAGATTAATTGCATGGATGCAATTAAAATGCATCTTTCTTCAAAGGTAAAGATGCAGACGTAAATAGCAGCTGCAGGCAAGGAGGCCTTAAGCAGGTGTGGGACTGTGGGAGTGGGAAAGGCCAACACCGTCTTGGCAGAAATCTTTCTGCAAGCTGCTATTTGCATCAGAAGGGAAATACCTATTTCCAAATGCAAATAGCAGATTTTGGGGGGAGGTGCAATTTTTACCAGGACCACAGCAAGAAAGAGAGGCGGTGCTCCCTCCCCACAGTCCCAGTCTTGTTCAGCCCCTCCTGCAGTTGCTATTTAGGTTTAAAGAAGCACAAACGTCCCAATTAAGTTTGGCACTCTCCCAAAATGGTTCCAGTTCTCCAGCCCTCGGAGGTACAAGAGGTCTCCTTGCATATTCCAGAGTCTTGGACAAATACCTTCTCGCCACATTCAGCTGCCTGTGAAGGATCTACTGCCTCCCAGCAACAACCTCCTCTCCAGTTAGCATAAGTGAACAGTTACGGCTTATAAGCACCAACATCAGCACACCTGGAATGAGTTGAAGAAGAGCTCGCAGTGCATCCGGATCTCCCAGCCCAGCCCTGTGAACGTGTGAGGCAGGCATACGAAGACAAAGTAATGCACGCCAAAGACAAGGACAAGGATCAAGGTGGATTTGGCTAGTTTTCTAGAAGAGTGAAGAGAAGTTGTTGCCGTTATCATCATCATCAATCTTTATTACGGTCCAGAGACCCAACAAATCATTACAAAGCAATACACAATTCATACAGCCTACCTCCAGGTTAAACAAGCATTTTGTTTAGAATATAGGGATCATTTGTTCTTGCAACCACCGATAAAAACTTTGCCACTGCTAATGTTCTAGCATTTGTCCGGTCTTCCAGTAGGAACCTGACATAGTGAGCCTCTGATTTTCCCAGGAAAGGTACCAGCAAGGGTAGTATCAGTTCAGCCCTGGCTTGCTCATATTTTGCACAATGCAACAAAATATGTTTTATGGAATCGATGTCTTGAGCACACGAGCAAAGTCTGTCCTGGTAGGGAACTCCTCTCAACCTGCCATCCAACACTGCAGAAGGAAAGACATTTAGTCTGGCTTTGGTGAAAAGCCTTCGATAGTCTGGTACTGTCAGGTTTTTAATGTAAGATGTTAACTTAAAGACATACCCATATTGTAGTCCTACTGCCAGTGGACTACAGAAGAAGAAGAAGAAGAGTTTGGATTTGATATCCCGCCTTTCACTCCCCTTCAGGAGTTTCAAAGCGGCTAACATTCTCCTTTCCCTTCCTCCCCCACAACAAACACTCTGTGAGGTGAGTGGGGCTGAGAGACTTCAGAGAAGTGGGACTGGCCCAAGGTCACCCAACAGCTGCATGTGGAGGAGCGGAGACGCGAACCCGGTTCCCCAGATTACGTGACTACCGCTCTTAACCACTACACCACACTGGCTCTGCGTGTGATCGAGATCGCAAGTCACTGTGTGCATTTTCCCATAATCTTTGCTTTAACATCTTTTGGGCACCTTCATAACCCAGGTAATACAGTGGGGGGGGGGAGAGACCAATAGAGGTGGCTTTTTTAGCCATGGTTTTCTGCCATTTGCTGACAAATTCCTCATTGGTTAGGTGTTGGTACAAACCCTTCCCTAGATTAAACACTGAAATCCTGAGCCAATGTTTTAGGGCAGCTCACCGTTATCACCATCAGTCATTCCGACAAAGTGCTAGATGCTGCACAGAAAAGTGTCCTAGCCTACAATCCCTGAGGCTACCTAAATCTCCTTGAGCACAATGGGATATAATCAGCCTAACTCTCAACAGAATTGCAGACATGCAATCTTATTCAGTAGGAGTTGCCCAAGGACCATAGCATACTCCAGTCCCCTGTAATTTCATCGCCTGTGAAAACTGGAGGATTTCTTGGTGCCCTTGGGCTTCTTTTTCGTTCCTTGTGTTTCTGACTGTCTGGCTTGTATTTACAGCCAGACGGGACAATGTCTCAGGCATGAGATTCATTACGCACAACCGACAAGAGCCCCTTAGACGTTCCCTGTCCCTAGAACAAATTCTTCTATCTGCTCTGGAGATCAGAGGCCTACCTCACTTTCTCACTGGGCGCCTGTAGATCCTATCAGCAACAACGGCTCCCACTATCCCACTTGGAAGCTCAAAGCCCTGATGATCTACAGCGATCATCTTTCCTTCCTGCTGCCTGTGCACAGGGAAGGCTGAGAGAAACTCACTGACTCTGACTTCTGGTTCTTGAGAGAGCACGTCCCACAAAGAGCAAGGCTTTTTTTCACCAGAACTCAGTTCCAGCACCTCTCAGGTGGGTGCCATTGCCTTTATAAGAAAACAAGGGAGATGTTTGTGCTGAGCTCCTGCACCTCTTTCTAGAAAAATTGCACTGATATATACATATATATACATATACATCTGCACATACATCTCTCTTTTGTGCTGCAGAAACAAAGCTGATTTCTCCCTGCCTCCTTCTGCTTTCCTTTCTGCTTCTCAACAATCATCTTTAGTATGAAGAAGAGGTCTGAAATAACTCAGTACATTCCCAGAGAGAACAACGGCTTATTACAGCGCAGTACAGAAAAACTACATTCTGCTTGGCTCTCTCTTCCAAATAAGAACTAATATGACTGCAGATGAAGCTCTCTCTGCAGTTACTGTAGGCTCTCTCAATTAGTATGGCTGTTTTCAACGAGAAAACAGAAGGATACTCTTTGAGTTGTTGCTCACAGTGGCGAAGAGGGAGGTTTGAAGGGGGAGGGGTCCCAGAGACACAAAGTCCATTTGCTAATTGAATCGCAGTCCCCCAGGGTGCATTTTAAAGAGATCAATGCCAAATTAGGAGTCCAAGTATGGGTCAGCTTTATTCTTGTCGTCCCCCCCCACTTTCTTTTCTTCCATTTATATCCCACCTTCCCTCCAATAAACAAAGCAGCACAGCTGGTTCTTTCTCCCCCTCTTACTCTCACAGCAATCCTGTGAGGGAGGTTTGGCTGATAGACGGTTTGAGGCCACCTCAGTGAGCCTCATGGCTGAGTGAAGATTTGAACCCGAGTCTTCCCACTTCTAGTCAGGCACATGGTAACTATACCATTTTGTTAAGGCTGAATGTTAAGGCTGGATCTCTGTGTGAGCATCCTGGCATCCTGAATAAGGCCACCAGCTTGGACCAGCTTCAGCCCACCTGAAGCTGATACAGGCTTGTCTTATCTTGAGCCCAAGCAGAGTAGTCCACACAGCAGAAGGATAAGCAGTATGTGCCACATTCTTAACTTTATTTCCACTCTATGCTGAGAGAATACAAACATGCATCTTGCCTCTGTGAGAGCAGAGAAGCAACTGTCTCTCTAACAAAGAAACCGAGAGAACAAACAGGAAACCAGTGAACGTCACATCCAGTCTCCCATTCCCGTGGGAATCCAACAGTAACTTGGACTGTGGAATGCAATACAATGCCTTGTGACTGCAGTTGCCGCTCAGTGAGGGAAATAGAAACCAACACATCTTATAATCAAACCTTGGCCTTTAAGTCTTACCAGCCATTGCAGGCAGCCATCTTTGAAAACACCAACCAACCAAGAATGCCCCCATGATATAGAACAAGGCAGTGTCATTCCCACGGGGCCATTCTCAATTAGAGACACTGCAGGGCTCTGCCTTTTTGTTGCAGTTCAGCCACCACCTGAACCTCTGGCAAATCCCTTTTTCATCAGTAAAAAGAAAGGCTCGCCACCTCTAAAAGTGACAGGTATCTATAGAAGCTATTTCAATTTCCTTTATTCGACCGATAGTCAGAATTAAAACATTACACAATAATTATAAACTATAACATCATAGGGGGTACATAAATAAGGTAGGGCCACAGTACTAGACCTCTCACAGATAACCCACATCAAAGCATTCAGTTATACGTTTCCGACACTTGAGTGCCAGGAAAAGAAATTTAGCCACTGACAAGGTTGTTTTCCCAGAAGACTTATTTAGCAGATATGCTGATATCTATAGAAGCTATTCCCTCCCTCTCCAAGAAAGGTCAGAGCTGAATACTTCAGCCCAGGATAACACTCACATTAAGGAGGGTTGCGATGCTTAAGATGAGTGGAGAAGTATTCTATTTTTAAAATGCTTCTAACCAATTTTTAAACAGCTCTCCTTTTTCAGCCTTCTTGAAATCTGCCGCACATCAGAAGTAAACAGCTGACAAATATTGATTATATTCCTAATTCATACTTGAAAATCTTCATATAAATATATATGCATCTGATTTAAAATTATGATAAGTGATGTCTGAGAGCCACTTTTGGAGCTGGATGCCTCTGGGAATGATGAAATCAATTAGCATATAAGTTACATTAATATATACATTGAATAAGTGAATTATTCATATGGGGAGTTCGCAAAACTAGTATTTTCTCTGGGGATGTTTTCAGCATAAGAAATAAGTTATAGCCCTTGACGTATTCAGAAGTAGTATTGCATTCTGACAGTTCTCTGAGGGCAACTGGAAAACAAAGACACAACTTAATTTAGTAGAGGCTTACCTATATTGCTTCCTTACGTCGTAGCCAACAGCATTTGTCTCCCAAATTTTTGTCGCCAGAGCCCGTACAGTATTGAGGAACAGAATAAAGTTTAGCTGTAAAACAGTTTACAGGTGTGTGTTATTATTCCCACTATCCCTTTAGAAATATCAACTGCTTGCCTCTATAACAGCAGAGGCAGACTTTGGTCTTTCAAGTTTCAGCGGTGCCCTGTGCAAGGTCAAAATTCCCCCCCCATGCCTTCTATTTTACACCTGCACTAAGTCATAGTTGTGACGCCCTGCAGCGCCCCCCCCCCCCGCAGCTTGGTGCCCAGTTTGAGGAACTGACTGTGCTGCCCTAAATCTGCCTCTGATAACTGGAAGGTTTTGAGGGCATCTGGAATTTAGGACCAGGACGTGATTCTCCATTAGTTTCCATTTCTGTTGAGATGATTACATCATTAAGCCAATCCAGGCTGACAAGCCCAGGCTCCAAACTGCCCAGTTCCTGACATTGCTGCACTTAACCTTCCCCAGTTTCTTCCCAGTCCACCCCCCTTCCATTGACTTGGCATCATGCCCATGGGCTAATGTGTGAAGTGGAAAACTGGAATGAGCAGCACAGAAACTCAGTGAAGCATTTGAGTGGGAATACGCCTCTCCAACAGATGCAGTTAGGGACGCTCCCTGGCTGGCATCCGTTAATAGTCCAGGATTATAGCTGTCAACTTACAGATTTGAAAATAAGGGACCAGCAGCCTCGAAAATAAGGGATCAGCAGCCAAAATAAGGGATTTTAGCCAACCAGCTCCTTTCCTTTCCCCCATAACAGTCAATCAAAGGAGCCTCCAAAACAAATCCAAAAGCCCCCCTCCCACGAGATAGCCGTCCACCATTGTACTCAACCAGCTCCTTTCCTTTCCCCCCACCATGTGCCCTCTCTCCAGACAGACCTTTTCCCTGGCAAAGGTGAGTGGGCCGTCGATGACGTAGCCATCCGATTCCGAGCACAGGTATATTCAACTTCTGAGCCCCTCCAAGCCAAAGGCAGAAAGCCCAGCCAGTAGCCAAACGAAGCCTCAAGAGATGGTTCCCACAGCGCAGCAACCCAGCAAAGGGGATGCAGCAAGGAAAACCGCCGTCACCTCTCCGCTGGGAAGCGCTGAGCAAAGGTGAGTCCCCAGGCAACACGGCCAATTTGAAGGAATGCAAGCTCCACCCCCCAGTCGTTCTTAGACTCCTTATTGGGTGAGCAACGCAGCCAAGCAACACAGTTGGAGCCTCCCTCCTCCCTGGCTGGCCAGCAGGGAGGGAGGGAGAGGAGCTGCTTCCTTTGAAACCCGGGAAATTTAAGGGACATCATCAATAAGGGACAGCAGCGGGAAACGTCGCTGGAATAAGGGAGTTTCCCGCCAAATAAGGGATGGTTGACAGCTATGTCCAGGATGCAAGTCCAGATTGTAGCCTAAAAGCAAATGTCAGGTCAGGGCCAACATAATCCAAGCTACAAATATCCTGCAATGGGATATTAACACACCTGCAGCTCAGTCCTGCCAAAACAGACCACAGCGAGCCTCAAGCAAGCGGGAAGAGAGGCCATTCAAGCTGGCCCAGCCTGTTTCCATAACAAGGACACCTTGCCCTTGCTAGTATTGCTATTGACCATAGCAGGGCAGAGATCAGCAGATGAAGCTTTTGCTGCCCATGGCGGTGCAGTGAACCAGGAGAAATCTCTTCCTCTTTGCTCCACCACCACCTGTGCAACTTCTAGAGCAATGATTTAAAAGAAACCTTTCTCAAGTTCCCTTTAAGAAACAACACCAAAAAGGTAGAAAAGTAAGGATTTCAATGAGTCTTCCCTTATCAGGACCCTGGGATGGTGAGATGTCATCCCCCCCACCCCCACTGAACCCTCTTAGTCAGTAAGAATCATAGGAAGATGTAGAAATTTATTGGCTCCTTATCTCTTCTTTGTACTGGTTGTTTACATCACCCCTGAACTACTGCCATCAATTATGGATAGACGGAGGCTATTTTCAATGTTCACTAAAAATAAATACATATGAATAATCCTACCCCAATCGCTACTAAAACTGGAGCTTGGTAAATCCATTTTATGTCTCCAGCACTGAGTTCCCAGCACCTGCGAAATCAAGAACATTTCTACATCAATCAACAGAGCAGGAATAAGTGGCCAAACAGTATATTCTTTCCATAGTTGTGTAAGGCTCTATTAATTATGGAGGGTGCACAGAAAAAGCATTTCAGGCTTTTTAAAAAATCGGCTTTAAGATTCTTCACTATTAACAAACAAATGCAGATTTTGGGGAGCAGTAACAAATGAGTATCACGCAGGGTGGAAATTGCCACTCTCATTACAATTCAAGGCAACCCATTCAAGAGCTAAAGATTATGAAGATGAGGCCCAGTTCTTGGAAACAGCAAAATGATGATGTAAATGGCCCCCCACTCCGACTATGCTACTTCAGGGTAGGGGGGGGGGCATAAATGAACCACTTGAATTATAAAGCAATAAAGTCCAGTAACATGCTGCTCACACCATCTTTTTCGTGAGAACTAGGCTTAATCATAGTCTTCTGAGCCTAAATGCCACATTCAATTTATTGTGTTGGGGTTTTTATTTTTATATTTCAAACATTTATGTCCTGCCTTTCAGTGACCGTTCATCATTCCCAGGACAACTCATTAAATAGTTTGTTTCTTTGTTTTGTAATACAAAAAAAAGACAAACGAAACAGCAGCTTAAAATAATTTTGAAGTTTGGCAGGATAATTTCAAAGGTTGTCAGTGTTTACAAGCCTTTAAAATAAAGAGGTATTTGCCTTGTCCTGAAGTCCTAGCAAAGAAGGCAGCAGGCCTAGAAGCAAGGTTCAGGAGTTTGGCAACCAAGAAGCAGATGCAAACATCACAGGCTTGTAGAGCAAAACCCAAGGTGGAAAAGATTTCCAGGCTGGCCCTTCCTTCACAAAGATGTCCCCAAATAAACTGAGGCCTGCTCCCTGCAAGGGATCTCTTCCAAAAGCAAGCTTTTAAGTAAAGGTAAAGGTACCCCTGCCCGTACGGGCCAGTCTTGACAGACTCTGGGGTTGTGCGCCCATCTCACTCAAGAGGCCGGGGGCCAGCGCTGTCCGGAGACACTTCCGGGTCACGTGGCCAGCGTGACAAGCTGCATCTGGCGAGCCAGCGCAGCACAAGGAAACGCCGTTTACCTTCCCGCTGGTAAGCGGTCCCTATTTATCTACTTGCACTCGGAGGTGCTTTCGAACTGCTAGGTTGGCAGGCGCTGGGACCGAACAACGGGAGCGCACCCCGCCGCGGGGATTCGAACCGCAGACCTTTCTGCTCTGTCTTGCAACGAGACAGGATGTCTGTATGAGGGCTGCTCCTTTCAGACGTGTTTATTATGTTCTTTAATCTGTAATTAACAGAAATAAAGTAGGTATGCCCAGATACCTCCTCACCTCCGTCTGCGCTGCTTTACTATGCTAAGACCGGGCGCTCACAAGAGAACAGCTGTGAGTCCCAGAACACCAGGACCCCTTCCCAAGAACGCTGTGTAGCTGTTCCAGTTGCTGGAGGAGGTCATGGGGCCTGCAGGAGTGTTCCATTAGGCAGTTGCCTCAGGTGGCGGGCGTGCCCCTACCCCACTGCTCCTACTGGGATCTCCCAATCTGTGTGCCCGCGCAGGCTGTTGTGAAGTTGCACCAGAACCCAGAAGCTGCAGCTGTTTGTCCCCAGCAGGGCAGTGTGAGCCAGTGTGGTGTAGTGGTTAAGAGTGATAGACTCGTAATCTGGGGAACCGGGTTCGCGTCTCCGCTCCTCCACATGCAGCTGCTGGGTGACCTTGGGCCAGTCACACTTCTTTGAAGTCTCTCAGCCCCACTCACCTTACAGAGTGTTTGTTGTTGGCGTGATCCCAGCGCCTGCCAACCTAGCAGTTCGAAAGCACTCCTGGGTGCAAGTAGATAAATAGGGACCGCTTACTAGCGGGAAGGTAAACGGCGTTTCCGTGTGCGGCTCTGGCTCGCCAGAGCAGCGATGTCACGCTGGCCACGTGACCCGGAAGTGTCTCCGGACAGCGCTGGCCCCCGTCCTCTTGAGTGAGATGGGCGCACAACCCTAGAGTCTGTCAAGACTGGCCCGTACGGGCAGGGGTACCTTTACCTTTACCTTTTTACCAGAGATGGGGGGACGCGGGTGGCGCTGTGGTTTAAACCATAGCGCCTAGGACTTGCCGATCAGAAGGTCGGCGGTTCGAATCCCCGCGACGGGGTGAGCTCCCGTTGCTCGGTCCCTGCTCCTGCCAACCTAGCAGTTCGAAAGCACGTCAGAGTGCAAGTAGATAAATAGGTACCGCTCTGGTGGGAAGGTAAACGGCATTTCCGTGCACTGCTCTGGTTCGCCAGAAGCGACTTAGTCCTGCTGGCCACATGACCCGGAAGCTGTACGTCGGCTCCCTCGGCCAATAAAGCGAGATGAGCGCCGCAACCCCAGAGTCAGCCACAACTGGACCTAACGGTCAGGGGTCCCTTTACCTTTACCAAAGATGGAAGTCACACAGACAGGCTTCCTTTCTCATGGAACAGAAAGTAAACAATAGGATCAGATGATCCTTGCAATGGGAGGAGTGAAATACTAACACAGTCTCAGTCTGCCTTGTGGCAAGAGCTATCTGCAATGGGAAAGTCAGGGGCTTTCCATTTTCTATCTACTTGGGCACATACCACCTACTGTCAGCAGCTGACATCCCTGGGCACTGCCAGGGCCCCAAAGTCCCAAAGCCCATCGTTGATGCCTGCCCTGGCACCTCCTGGTAAATGCAACATAGGGCTGCTGGGTGTAGTCCTGTCGCACTATGCTTCTCAGCGCTGTCCCAGACTTCTCCACCTTGCAGGGCTTTTGGATCCACGGAATGCCCAAAACAGCCAGAGATCATGTGCCAATGCCACATCCCACACAGGAGGCGGTTGGCCCCTCGCTCAGCTTTCGCCCCATTCTCTTTCAGCAACTCCTCTTTCTCCACCTCCTCACCGTTTCCCTTTAGTAAGCGATCGGGTAAATTTCCAGCAGTGGGAAATAAATGGAGAGGAGGAATGACTACCATGCACAAATTAGTTAATGGGTGCTTTAAAGGAAAAGGAAAAGAGGGGATTTATATCAGCTGCTTGTTAGCCGCTGCTGGAGCTCAGGAAGTGGGAAAGGAGACAAAAAATACCTTCCTGAGTGCCGAGAACAGTTAATGGCTGGCCGATTTAAATCCCCTCTCCTTTTCATTTTCTCTTTTGATAAACCACCAGCTAATTTGCACACAATGTTCATTAAGTGAAGCATATGGGCGAGCCTGCTCTTTCAACTCAAAAATCACTGCAATGGAATATATGGAACAGGAGAAGTAGAACTGGGTGGGTTACTTGGTGCAGGGAAAAGCGGGGGGGGGGGAATGTGTGTACTACAGCCCTAAACTCAGATTATTCCTCCACCACCACCACCCTTTCGAAGTGATGTATGGAAGTGAGAGCTGGACCATAAAGAAGGCTGATCGCCAAAGAATTGATGCTTTTGAATTAGGGTGCTGGAGGAGACTCTTGAGAGTCCCATGGACTGCAAGAAGATCAAACCTATCCATTCTGAAGGAAATCAGCCCTGAGTGCTCACTGGAAGGACAGATCCTGAAGCTGAGGCTCCAATACTTTGGCCACCTCATGAGAAGAGAAGGCTCCCTGGAAAAGACCCTGATGTTGGGAAAGATGGAGGGCACAAGGAGAAGGGGACGACAGAGGACAAGATGGTTGGATAGTGTTCTTGAAGCTACCAGCATGAGTCTGACCAAACTGCGGGAGGCAGTGGAAGACAGGCGTGCCTGGCGTGCTCTGGTCCAGGAGGTCACGAAGAGTCGGACACAACTAAACGACTAAACAACAACAACAAGAGATATTATTTATCTATTCATTTATGAATCACTTTCTGTGAGGCATCTTGAGGTACCTGGTGGGTAAGGCTGCATGCTACTGGCTGGGAGGCAGAGACCGGCTGACAAGCAATTTATGAAAATTCTGGCCAGAGCAGAATTTTTTGCAGACAGCTCTTGTACCCTTGCAGCCAATTGTCTCTAGTCAGAGGCTACTTGCTGGTACCTAAAAAGAAATGCAGTGCCACCCAGTTGCAAACCACTGAGTAGAGAAGGACTGCGCCATGACTTACATAGTTGCAGATGTGGACAGGATAACGCACTGCAAAGCTGGAACATGCTTTGAACATACAAAACAGTCGTGCTGATGTGGTTCAGCTGCATTAATGTGTTTAACAGGTGGTTCCTAGAATTCTAGAATGGATGCTTTTGAATTATGGTGCTGGAGGAGACTCTTGAGAGTCCCATGGACTGCCAGAAGATCTAGGCTCTCCATTCTGAAGGAAATCAGCCCTGAGTGCTCACTGGAAGGACAGATCCTGAAGCTGAGGCTCCAATACTTTGGCCACCTCATGAGAAGAGAAGACTCCCTGGAACAGACCCTGATGTTGGGAAAGATGGAGGGCACAAGGAGAAGGGGACGACAGAGGACGAGATGGTTGGACAGTGTTCTCGAAGCTACCAGCATGAGTTTGACCAAACTGCGGGAGGGAGTGGAAGACAGGAGTACCTGGTGTGCTCTGGTCCAGGAGGTCACAAAGAGTCAGACACGACTAAACAACTAAACAACAACAAAATGTGTGCACAGCAGACATTTCCCTTAAAAAATGACCTTAAATACAAAAAGGGGTGTCGGAGGGGGTGGAAATCATTCTCCCCTGAGGTTAGGAAGGCTCACAGAAGGAAAACTAGTAGGAGCAATCAGAGCAATTGTGACTTTTAATGTTAACTGGTGACAAAGTGAAAACAAGCAAACCGAGCAGGAATCTATTTATTTAAACATACAAGGGGGCTTATGCCCATTGCTTGCATCCCTGGCCAGTGTGTGAAGGGGCTCTCTGCATGTACTTCAATAATACGCATGCTGACTGAGTGCACAGGGGTGTGTTCCTGCAGCACAAAGCAGCGGGTGACAAGGCTGCCTTCTCTTCAGGCTGGGCTCAAGTCTTGATTCCGACCTGCCATGCTAAGGCCTTTCCCCTCTAGTTGGAGGACCGGAGGCAAGGAACAAAACTGCTAGCACATTGCAAAGCTAAGCAGGGTCTGGTGTGGTTTCACATTGGATGGGAGACTGTGTGCTGAGATTTCCTGCATTGCAGGGGGTTAGACTAGATGACCCACAGGGTCCCTTCCAACTCTACCATTCTGTGGTTCAATGTTTCTAAGCTATTTGTCCTCAGATTGGCTTCTGAAACCTCAGCTGCTGATAGATAAGAGCATCTGTCTGTAGCCTGCAGCTCACTCTAGAAGGCTGTCCAAGCAAGGAGTCTGGCCTGTGAAAAAGAATTAATTGTCCTTATGACCAGTTATCTTGCTCTCTTTTTAAAGAGAGAAATAAAAAGTTTTCAATTACTTTTTCCTTCTCAAAGCAATCCAGTCTAGCAAGTGCCAATTTTTTATATCAGTAGGACTTCTGGCTGATCATACATGGCATGTCTGATCCTTAGGGAGCTTTCTATAATTTTCTCCGGATATTTGCTAATTTATTATCTCTGTGAGGCAAATTTGAGAGAGAGAACGAATGGACTTGGACACATTGCAGCCCTAATGAAGCACTGTTAGGCACCATTGATTTAAGTGGGAGAGGTTTAAGTATGGGATCCTTAAATTTTGCATTTTAATCAGTGGTCTCCTGGCCTTCCAGCAAACGATGCAGAGTTTCTGACTCTACGTAGCTCCGGGTGTGATCAGTCCTAGACAGGAGCGTGCTCAGGAATCCTCAAGGTACAGAATCTTCAGTCACACAGCACAGAAAAAGAGGGATATAAATGAAGTAAGGTGGAATTTCATAATGCTTAATTATGGCTGGATTGCACCTTTGATATCTCGCTGAATATAATGGCAAACAAAAAACTGCCTCAAAGCCCCACCTTTTTGGCTCCTGATCCAGGTAGGATGATATGCTTGCCCTCTTTTTGTGACGTCTTCAGCTGGATCAGGAGCCACAAGTTTTCTCCACATGTCAAGCGGGTGGTGGTGGTAAATAAGAAAACCGAGTTTCAACAATAAGCGGTTGCTGAGGAGAAGTGGGGGGCAAAGGGTGTGTGACTGGGATAATTTCCCCCAGTATAAAACATTGCCAGCATGCTTAAGGGCTCTACGCTTCCACTCGCCCCAGGCCTAGAAACCAGGGGTGTGAGGGGTTTTGCCTTTGCCCCGCTGCTTCCCCCTGGAAAATCCACTCTCTGGTGCTAAATCAGAACAAACAGCAATCCATGGAAACCTCGCCAAAGAGCAGTTTTCCTGAGGGGGGAAGCAACCGGGGAAGAGGAAGTTTGGATAAGCCCCCAGTCAAGGCAACTCAAGCCAAGTGCATTCAGAAAGCACCACTCCTCAAAGATCTGTCTGAGGGGTTGGAAAGAAAGAAGTCTGCAATAAGTGAAATACATCTCACCGCTCCAAATGAGATAAACATATATCGATATTGCTGTGACATTTAAATAGGGTGTTCCAGATGCAAAAGAGGAGAGGGCGTTTGCAACCTTAACAGAAGAGGGAATTTCAGCCTCTGTGTCTTGAAAGGCAAGCCAAGCCTGCCCGAAGTTCTCTCCGACACAACCGTGAAAGGTGAAGGAGCCCCTTCCCCGTTCAACGTTCAGAACAGAACAGGGGAAGAATTAAATTTTAAAAACCAGGTTACAGTTTTTAAAAACCCAGATTGAAAAAAAACATTTAGTAAAATTACTATAAATTTGTTTTATAGTGCCATTGTTCTCCGTAGCTACCTGCAATTTGGTTTTTGAAGGGATCAGAATTAACAAAAAAGTTATAGCAATTACGTAGTTGTCAGCCGTTCGAAAGCACGTCAAAGTGCAAGTAGATAAATAGGTACCGCTACGGTGGGAAGGTAAACGGTGTTTCTGTGCGCTGCTCTGGTTCGCCAGAAGTGGCTTAGTCATGCTGGACACATGACTCCCTCGGCCAATAAAGCGAGATGAGCGCCGCAACCCCAGAGTCTTCCACGACTGGACCTAATGGTCAGGGGTCCCTTTACCCTTTGCCAAATGATTCCAGGGTAGTTCACACTGATACATGAGCCAACATCAAATATGGACAGTTTACAATAGAACATATATGTAATAATAATAATTTTGACATTTATATGCCACTTTTCTTGTCAGTGGATTGCCCAAGCCACTCTTGTAAACCGCTTCAATAGTTTTTTCTCTCTCACACACTCTTTTACAATCAAGCAGTGAATAAATTGAACGAAATAAATAACATTACAAAATACTTGCCTGTTTAAAACTTTTATAAATGGAGGCAATGTGGGAGGCCTGGTCTAAACAGGGACCTTGAGCATATTTTCCATTAACCGTCTCAGAAGGGTGCACTGCAGATATATTTTCTTCAAACCGCTACCTTCGGTTCTGTGTCAGTGTATACTCAAAATATATGCAGAACTTGAATGGCAGTGTGCCAGTCATCCATCGATTAAAAAAAAGGAAAGCTCAAGTAAACTCTCTTGACAGTGCTCCCTTACCTTGCATCTGCCACGGTTGCTCGGACCACTCCCCAGGCCACCACAAAAACAGCTGGAAACCCTACAAATATGAAAAATTCATTGCCAACTGTTAGAACAGATTTCCCTTGAGGAACAAAAGAATAATTTATAATGCCTTTCTGCTCACTCAGAGGATATTAAATGAAGCGTTTAGAAAGAGCAGGCACAAAAAAACCCAGACAGCGCCCTTTCCCCATGAACAAAGCAGAATGTCTGAAAGGTCACGATTCCACAGCAGGCAAAAAAACCTTCAATTTCTGCTGAAGACAAATTGCAGCTAGCCTGAAGCTCACCTCCTTCCCATCCCATCTCCTCCTCCACTAAGTTCACATTTCAATGACCGGTAACCAGCTTATATCATCATGCAAACCCTAAACTATGGTCAGTTTTAACTAGGGTTTATTTAAAGAAGCCAGCTTCCTGACACCTGCTCTAGTGCAGATGAACGATTCGGATTAAAGTAACTACCTACTTTATACTATCTGAATTAGATCTATAAAATCAGTTTTGGCCTTATACATCCCACTTAAGATATTTTGGGTATTCTGATCAATGCACTTTGGAGTAACAAAAAATTCCGGATTACGTGATGCTAAGAATTAATGAACTGTGAGACGGCTGTTGAGGTTTCATACAGAGGTTTGGGTGGGGGAAGCCTATGTTTTATTTACAAAACATAAAAATACAAGAAAAGTGTTTTGGATTGTAAAAAAAAAAAACAACCACATCCAAGAAATATGGCAATAAAAACCCATACATATCAGATTCAAAAATGCTATAAAATTATTACTTTAAGAGTTATAATGCTATCAAAAAAGGAGAAGGCGGCATGTGACCTAATATGATCATCTTCATCATCATCATGTTTATTGCAGTGCTTGAAGAACTCACCTTTTCAGGTAACTCTAAACTTAAGGGATATAACCATGTCCTACTTTGAAACAGACCCCTTGTACTTCTCTTTCCACTTTTTGAGCACTTGGTTGAAAGAACGTGGTCCATTTCTGAATAATGCTGTTTTGCATGGTATCTCCTCTCTGAACAGATAAGATATGTACCTGCACATCATTATAGCTACTGTATATAACCATTCTGGCACTGAAGGAGGAAGAGGTTTTTCCCCAATAATGAGCAATTGTCACCTTAGTGCCTACTGAATAAATTTATCGCTTCTTCCAAATCAGTGTCACTTAGCACTTGATGATTTAATAACACACCTACTGAATTCAGAGCAATTTCATAACCTGTAATTTGATGAATATACCACAGAACTGTTTTCCAATATTATTTTATCTTCAAACATTCCCAAAATAAATGTGAGTTTGTCCAAAGCTTATTTATTTTGGGACCCACACACCTCAGCAATTATTTTCTACATATTTTAGCTGTTGCTGGCATCTGTAAGAGTGTTATCATATTAGGATTTAATTATTATATAATTCCATTAGCTAATATTGAAACTCCCCCAACATAATAACCAGAGCTCCTTCAAATTAAACTCTAGCAATGAGATTTTGCAACCACATGAAATATACCGTACCTAAATGAGTTCTAGTGGACATTGTTTGGTGCATGGTTTGATCCTAGTAGTCTACTTGGAAATAAGTTCAATTTATTTCAATAGGACATATTTCCTAGCAAGGTATTTATAACCAGCCCAGAATAATATAATAATAGTGTTTATTTTAAAAGATCTTCTGCCAACATTAAATTGACTTAAAAGAGAGCTTGAGAGTAAAAAAGCGGCCACCTTTTAGCTCTTGAATCAGAACTTTGTGGCTTTAATAGCTCCAAGCTTAAGGGGGAAATGCGTTTAAAATTTGTCTTTAATGAAATCTGCCTCCAGGCAAATTGAAATTAATCTGTTGTTTCTGGTCGAACAGGAACTTGCAGGTTATGTTAGTGTTTCAGAGTCTCTCAGAAGTATCAAGTAGAGGCAACAGTCAGAAGCAAGGAATGTGATGATCAAATAAACCTCTATCCTGCTAGATTCAAACACTATTTTGATTCAGTCTGATTCAGTGTAAGCCAGTTTCACATTATTATGTGTACCTCACCTCCCCAAACAGTGAAAGAACCAGGTGAATTTGGCATTTCGCTTTCAAAGGAATTAAAATTTACAGTTAGTCACGGTCCCTGCTTCACATCGTTTTTTGAAACTCCTAGCCTTGCATCCTGACAAAATATAGCAGCCTTAGTTCTGATGGGAGCTTGTTAACGTAAATCATTCGGGGTCTAAGTTGTGCACAGAAACTTCCCTCACATCAAGCCTGCACACAGAAGCACTGACACAGCAGAGACAGGGAGTGGGTTGCCTCCTGCCTCAAGTGTCTCATTAGCTAGACAGCTCTTCAAGCACAAGCGAGAACTGCGACATGCGCGGAGGCATGGATAGAACAGAGAACAAGGCAGACAGAGGCCAAACAATCCTTTATGAGACACGGATGCTGCTAGCAAACTACAGACCAACAGACTCCTCGTTTTCACTTGATGGTAGTAAAGCTGTGTCTGGACTGAACCATTTCAGGCAGCGCCCGAGGTCTCACATGACGGAATGGTCCTGAACTAAACGTAAGGAAGAAAAGGTCTAGGGTTCTCCTAGACATGGCAGGCTTCTCTAGGTGCTTTTCTGTGAGGCAGCATACCATCCTGTGAGCCTCTTGTCTTCAGTGGCAAGTCCACAAAAGGGATTTTACACCACAATGAGAGACCAGAGGGTTGCGGCAGCAGAGGTGGGCTTGAATCCTAAGACAGTTAACTCAAGGAAGTTCACAGAGGGAAGAGTTCTCTCCCCTGCAGAGACTTGTGTCCCTAAAGCCCTTCTGCAAGGCTGTGGGCCGTCCTAGACAGGAGATGAGGAAGACGGAGTTGCTGGACGATGGGTGATTTGTCACAAATCAGATTTGGATCCCGATATACATTATAAAGTCTCCCGTCTGATGATTTTTTGGGTTGATTTTTTTAAAAAGATTTGGGCAGTGCCATTATAGCAAAAATGACAAATTATATACGACTCTGAGACAGCAAGGCAGTGCAAAAGATCAAAGATTTCTCACTAAAGATTGTGTTATGTTGGAACAATAAATATTGTTAATGTTTTGCTCCTTTCACTATTTTTTAAGTACAATGAGTATCTGATTAGAAGTTTTAGCATTTGGGAGACATTCTTTTGTGAAATATTCATGAAATAAATTTGTATCTAGACTAAGGCTGCAATCCTAATTACATGGAAGTAAATCCTATTGCAGTGAGAGATTTTACCTTCCTGGGCTCCATGATCACTGCAGATGGTGACAGCAGTCACAAAATTAAAAGACGCCTGCTTCTTGGGAGAAAAGCAATGACAAACCTAGACAGCATCTTAAAAAGTAGAGACATCACCTTGCCAACAAAGGTCCGTATAGTCAAAGCTATGGTTTTCCCAGTAGTGATGTATGGAAGTGAGAGCTGCACCATAAAGAAGACTGATCGCCGAAGAATTGATGCTTTTGAATTATGGTGCTGGAGGAGACTCTTGAGAGTCCCATGGACTGCAAGGAGATCAAACCTATCCATTCTGAAGGAAATGAGCCCTGAGTGCTCACTGGAAGGACAGATCCTGAAGCTGAGGCTCCAATACTTTGGCCACCTCATGAGAAGAGAAGACTCCCTGGAAAAGACCCTGATGCTGGGAAAGATGGAGGGCACAAGGAGAAGGGGACAACAGAGGACAAGATGGTTGGACAGTGTTCTTGAAGCTACCAGCATGAGTTTGACCAAACTGCGGGAGGCAGTGGAAGACAGGAGTGCCTGGTGAGCTCTGGTCCATGGGGTCACGAAGAGTCGGACACGACTAAACAACAAAAAAAATCCTATTGAATTTCTGAGTAAGCATGCATACAATTGCACTGCATGTTCGTTCCACTTAAGTCCTGTTGAAATCATTGTGACTTAAGTCATAGCACCATCAGTCCTACACGTCCTGTAAATCTGCTCTGGAGGTTTGAGGGAACTCCCCCAGAACAAATTTAGGGCGTGTGCAGGGAGAGGAGAGTGTTAGAATATTCCGTTCCACCTTAAGAGGAACAGGCATGACTGTTGTGTGCCACATGCCTGTTTACACTCCAGCACAGCACAGCTTGCTGGGAACTTCCTTTTGTGTGTATAGCTTTTGCCAGACACAAGGGAGAGCAGACATGTTTTTCCTTTGTCCTGATGCTGAATAAAATGCCTGTAAATACGCTTTACACAGCCTCTCTCTGCCCTTCCGTTGCAAAGAGTTCTTATCTCTGCTGGCTTGGCTGCCCAGCTTCTGATGGCTTCTGAAGCTCAGGTCGCAGTTACGTGCTGATCCAAGGACCAGAGTTCGCCCGGATGCTGGCCAGTGGGCTGGAGCCAGCTGGGGGCCTGCCAATTGCCCCCGTTCCCTTGGGCGCATCCCAACAGAGAGGTGGGGAGTTCCAGTGCACAGCTAGAACTCCTTAGAATCATAGAATCATAGAGATGGAAGGGACCCCGGGAGTCATACAGTCCATCCCCTCTGCAATGCAGGAATCTCAGCTAAAGCATCCATGACAGATGGCTATCCTCGCACTAGCAAAACCGTTAAGCTGGGTATCACCCATACCAATTTTACTAGGACCTACGCGAAACTTATTTTGGCTGCAATCCTTGCATGCTTACCTGGGAACAAGTTCTGCAGAACATAGTGGGGCTTCTTCTTCAGTAAGCACCCTCAAAATACGTAAACCACCCACTTCTGATTTTGTGGTTTGCAAAAAGAATTTAAAATAAAAAATAGAAAAGCATTGCCCAAGAGATAATGTTAGAATGGACAGAACTGCGGGAGGCAGTGGAAGACAGGAGTGCCTGGCGTGCTCTGGTCCATGGGGGTCACGAAGAGTCAGACACGACTAAACGACTAAACAACAACAACAACAACCATCTAGCTTTAAATGGAAAGACAATGCTTCAATGAGAGACAAATGTATCTTACCCCAGCCTGTTAAGATGAAACCCCACAGGTACTGGGAATCCGAAAAGAAAGCCACAAATATTAAGCTGTGCAGATAGAGGCCTTCAACCAAGATCCAGTAGTAGTTGGTCGTCAAGAAGTAAATAAACATCACCACAGTAATCTTGCACCAGACCTGTCAATCGGTTCAAAATAAAGCAGCACAGTTGTGGTGGTCAGGGAAACAGTTAAATGTAATAGTATACTTGCATATTTATCCTAGACTTCCAGTTTCAATGGCCTTATTAATTTGGCATCAAGGCCAAGGCCAAGGCTATGACTCATGTTAACTAACGTTGTTCAGTAAGTTTTACTGTTCTTTGTCGTCCCCGCACAAAGAATTGTTTCAATTCTGTATTAAATTGTGAGTCATACGTAATGGTTGTGAAAATAACGGGAGTCTGTTATGTGCTTTAAAAGCTACACAATTATTGCCAGCTACTTAAAAACAGTCTCTTCCACCAGATTGGTGGTTGCGCTGCCCACCAGTGCCACAATCAGTGTTTGCGCAGTGACACAAAAGCTGTGAATTGAAGGCGTGCTTCCTCACATACCCAGACAGACCCGTCAGGAAGCTGCAGCTCGTTAAGGGCTTCTGTTCATGCCATATGTGTCTTTATACACACAGCATATTGGTGGTGGTCAGCAGAAAGGGCTGGGCCAATAGTCAGGCTGCTTCCTGTGGACATTTGCTCATATGGAAGACCTTTGAGGGACCACCCTGAATGCTCTCAATGGATCAGAACTTCTCTCTCTATTCTGTCACCAATACTGCTGCTCACTCTGGTATTCAAGGAAAGAGCCATAGCTCAGAGGTAGAGCATCCACTTTGCATGCAGAAGATCTCAGATCCAATCTCTGGCATTAGGGATGGGAGAGACCCTCACCTGGAGTCCTGGAGAACCACTGCCAATCACTGCAGACAAATACGGCACTAGGTGGGCCACTTGTCCGAGTTCCTAGTTCCTAGTCTGCAATTCTGTGCTCCAATCAGCTAAAGTAGACCCCTCACAGTCTGGTATCAGAATCAGCCTTTCTTGTCTTCTAGTGCCAACATAAAATGAATGTAGCAGGGGAGATACCGCAGTCACAAAGATGGCTTTCCCAGGGTGAGGCTCATCCATTGATGAAACAGGTGTGCTGATCTCTGCAATTTACCCAAATGCGGTAAACTCAGCTGCGTAATTTGTGGTCGGCCTTTAAAACTGGGGTGGGGGTGGGTTTTGTTTGTTATTATGGTATGTGTTTTTGTGTTTTTTTACAGTGGTACCTCAGGTTAAGAACTTAATCCGTTCTGGAGGTCCATTCTTAACCTGAAACTGTTCTTAACCTGAAGCACCACTTTAGCTAATGGGGCCTCCTGCTGCCGCTGTGCCACCGCTACACGATTTCTGTTCTCATCCTGAAGCAAAGTTCTTAACCCAAGGTAATATTTCTGTGTTAGAGGAGTCTGTAACCTGAAGCGTCTGTAACCTGAGGTACCAATGTATTGTAAAACACAAGATACACAGTGTTGCCCTGTGATCTTTGGGTGAAATTTAATTAAGGATAACAGTAGTAGTAGTAGTAGCAATACGTGGTACAATTATTCCTAAGATATTTTTTCACAGTTCTGCTGAAGCTGGGAAGCAACACTGCAAATAAATTGGCTCAAATGACAGTATTCTTTACTGAACTGTATTCTTTTCAGTATTATTTACTGAATTTCTATCCCAGGATCTCGAAGGAACCCAGGATCCAAGTATGGAATGTATTTATATATATTTACTTTTTCAGCATGTACTGGCTGACTCCTGTGGAGACGGGTGACTTGGGCCCATTCTGAACCAGCTGAAATGCAACTCTTTCGGGAGTCCAGCACTGAAGTTTGAGCAACTAGGAAGGCTCAGGGACCATCACTGAAATCAGTAGATTTGGATGCACGGGAAATATTAATGGCTTCCTGCTACCAACCATAAGGGGCGGGACTCAACGAAGGTGTTGCATGCATATGATGAGTTCCACTCATGTAACAGAATGAGGTCCCCCTGTGCCCTAAATATGCTCTGGAGGGTTGGAGGAATCCCCAGAACAGGTTTATTCCCCCCCCCAAATACTTTTTATTGCTTTTTTGTAACAACAACAAATAAAACAAATACTCTTACATTCAAAAATTTGTATGTCTTCTTATTTACCCTGCACCTTATGAAAACCATCCCTTCAATGGTTTTCATATCTCAAATCTTTTCTTACAGTTTCTTATTTACACTCCGTCCACATCACAAGATTTACATTAATCCTGCTACAGTTTTTAAATTTTTACAATTACTCTGTGTATATTCAACAAATTTACTCCAATCCTTTTCGAACTTTACTTCTTTTCTTTTCGTTCTTTTCGTTCTGAATCTTATAAGTCAATTTCGTCGATTCTATGTATTCAAACATTTTTGTCTGCCACTCCATTAAAGTTGGGATTTCTTGGGATTTCCATTTCGGAGCCACTAAAATTCTAGCAGCAGTCGTTGCGTACATGAATAGTTTGTAATCTTCCTTTTTTAATTCATCCCCTGTTATCCCTAGCAAAAATGCTTCTGGTTTCTTTGGGAAAGTGTATTTAAATAGTTTTTTCATTTCGTTATACATCATGTCCCAATATTTTTTCATTTTTTCACAAGTCCACCACATGTGAAAAAATTCACCATCTTTTGTTTGACATTTCCAACACAATTTATTACTTACTCTATACATTTTTGCTAGTCCCCAGAACAGGTTTAGAGGGTCCACAGGGGAAGGAGAGGGGAAAGGTCCCACTGGGCATGCTCCACTAAGCACTACGCTGAATTTCACTCACAGTCTCTGCCTGCTGGGTCACTTTGGCTTCAGCTGCGTGATAGTATTCTCAGATGCGGATTGGGCGCGAGAGAATATTGAACAGTGATTCTGCTAGGTAAAGATGGATGAACTTTAGCAAGAGGAGGGGAGAAGTACTTACGTACTGGGACTTGTCCAGGGCTGGAGCCGCTATGATATTTTGCAGGTCACCCATGAGCAGCGAGTCAAGCTCTTTGACTCCGATATGAGCATGAACTACTCTGTCTTTTATAAATATGCTGGTACCTCTGAGCATGAAAGAGACAAACAGATGCAGGTGTATATAATTCCGGGTGCAGTGAAGTCTCCTGTGTGCAAGGGGGGAAACCTAATTAAAGGGAGCATAAGAACTCAGGAAGAGCCCTGCTGAATCAGACCCAATCCTGCACTCTTGAAAAGCTCTTGAATTTACCGCGTCAGAAAAGGAAACCTCCAGTTGTTTCAAGAGCATCACTGGCGACAGATATCAGGTGAGCATGTTGCCTGAACAGCAGGTTGCAATGGTCTACCAATTGCGCAGGTAAGCATTCTAAAATGTGACAGCAATAGGATAGTTTCAGTTGTAATATAAGCGCAGGCCCTTAAGGAGGAGTCGCTGCATGTTAAACATAGCTCCAATGTATTATGTTCCCTTCAAGTGTCATAACAAAGAGAGAGGCAAACTAAACATTGCATGCAAATGAGTGAAAAGGGGTTCAAACAGTTTAAAAAAATGAGAAAGAACTTGGGATGCTAACATTTTTAGTAGAGAAGCAGCTCTGTGTGAACTACTTAATCCTTTCCCCACCGGTTGTTTTTCTGCTCAGAATTAAGTCCTCCAACATCTTTCCCCCACTGGGATTCTAGATGTGTATCTGCCATCATAAATATAGATGCAGCCAGCAGGGAAAAAATTAATCATTTTTCTCCATGCCCTTTCTTGGCTCAAATCTCAACCTGCTGAGGCAGCTTTTAATGTAATACATATATAAAGGCCTGGCTTTGTTACTCACAATTGTGTACAATGTTCAGTTTCCCCAATGATATTGACTGGATTCAGGTGTTCAGCCCATGAAAGCCACTCCATTTTATACTGCAATTAAATTCATCCACTTGCCATTGTGAGGGAAAGAATGTGAGTGGCAAGGGAGGGGTAGTCATCGTAGAAATTGCAGACATTATGTCATCTTAAAGTAAAGGTAAAGGGACCCCTGACCATTAGGTCCAGTCGTGACTGACTCTGGGGTTGCGGCGCTCATCTCGCTTTATTGGCCGAGGGAGCCGGCGTACAGCTTCCGGGTCATGTGGCCAGCATGACTAAGCCACTTCTGGTGAACCAGAGCAGCGCACGGAAACGCTGTTTACCTTCCCACTGTAGTGGTACCTATTTAGCTACTTGCACTTTGACGTGCTTTCGAACTGCTAGGGTGGCAGGAGCAGGGACCGAGCAATGGGAGCTCACTCCATCACAGGGATTCGAACCGCCAACCTTCTGATCGGCAAGTCCTAGGCTCTGTGGTTTAACCCACAGTGCCACCCGTGTCCCTTATGTCGTCTTAGGACTGGCTAAAAGGTTTAAGAGAGGACGGACAGATTCTAGAGGTGTGATTTACTCACCTGAAGTAGCCCATGATGAAGATCGCCACAGCCAGAGAGCAGAACGAGATGGAATACCCAACGGTGTACATGACATAGAGGCGTTCAAAGAATTCCCTCTGGAGGAAACAGAAGATGTTCCAGGATTTTCTCCTTCAGCGCACAATTGAGAAGTTCTAAAATACGTCCTTTAAGAGAATCCAGTCTGGAGCTCAACTGTTGTCATTTACAGACCAACACAATCCTATTCTGCATGGAGGTAAAGCCAGGATTGTACCTGCAACCCCATTGTGTTACCCATTCTGGGAAGGTATGCTCCAATCCGTACGGCCATGCTAAACTATTTCTATGCATTGTTTTGGGGTGACCAACATTTCTTCTGAGTGCCCCCTCCCTCACGGTCGTGTTGGAGATTTGCCATGTCCTGGAGAACGACTGAAAGGTGACGTTTCTCAAATCATGGTAGTTTCTGGCACAGTTTACAATATTTAATCGTTATCAAGATGTATGCACCCTCTCCTTATAGTGCAATCTAATTGCAAGAATTAAGACTAAAATAGACTGAGCTCTTCCTACCCTCTAATTTATGGATTAAAGGGACCCCTGACTGTTAGGTCCAGTCGCGGACAACTCTGGGGTTGCAGCGCTCATTTACTGGCCGAGGGAGCCCACTTTTGTCCACAGACAGTTTTCCCAGGTCATGTGGGCGGCATTTTTCCATCTCTTGCGGGGGCGCAATTAGTGCCAGCACCGTCCGTTAAGAGTTTGGGTGTAATCTTCGACACCTCCCTTTCCATGGAGGCGCAGATTGCAGCTATAACAAAGGCGGCATTTTTCCATCTCCGCCAAGCTAAGCAGTTGGCTCCTTACCTCTCTCGCCCTGACCTAGCCACTGTGATCCACGCGACGGTCACCTCCAGACTGGATTATTGTAACTCGCTCTACGTGGGGCTGCCCTTGAGACTGACCCAGAAACTCCAGCGGGTGCAGAATGCTGCAGCGAGACTCCTTACGAGGTCTTCGCTGCGAGATCACATTCATCCGGTGCTATACCAGCTGCAACTGGCTCCCGGTGGAGTACAGGATCAGGTTTAAGGTGCTGGTTTTAACCTTTAAAGCCCTATACGGCTTAGGACCCTCGTACCTACGGGACCGCCTCTCCTGGTATGCCCCACAGAGAAACTTACGGTCTTCAAATAAAAACATCTTGAAGGTCCCAGGCCACAGAGAAGTTAGGCTGGCCTCAACGAGAGCCAGGGCTTTTTCGGCTGTGGCTCCGATCTGGTGGAACACTCTGTCACAAGAGACCAGGGCCCTGCGGGACTTGACATCTTTCCGCAGGGCCTGCAAGACAGAGCGGTTCCACCAGGCCTTTGGCCAGGGCACAGCCTGACTCCCTCCCTCGGCAATCTTCGCGGAGCTCTGGCCCAATGCTTGCCAGTGGCTTGAATTAATTAATTTTAGAATGAATGATTTTAGAATGTTGTTTATGCTGTACTTTTGTACTGTTTTATTGTTGTTAGCTGCCCTGAGCCCGGCTTCGGCTGGGGAGGGCGGGATACAAATAAAATTTATTATTATTATTATTATTATTATTATTATTATTATTATTAATAATAAACGCCAGTTAGGTTCCCCAACACTCTCAACACGAAAACACCCTCAAGCCCCACAGCTTTTCAACTCTGCTTCTTTGCTGGAGAAAGAGCAAGTACCTTTCCTGGGCTGTTTTCTGCTTGCAGGAAGTCAAAGCATTCTGAATAATTAGACCATGTCCGGTTCAAACTTTGCACAGAGACCCACGTTCCATTTGAGCTACAGTGTCGGAAAGCCAGGCCTGCAAGAGAGAGAGAAGAGGCACTCCCATGAGAAGGTTCTCCCCAGCTAGGTTTTGTGTAAGATAAAATCCAACGTGAAGCTTGTTGCTGGTACCTTTGTGATTGAAGTCATATATATATGGGGGGCACGGGACAGCTAATGTTTTCCCCACAGACCCCCTGGGCCAGCAGATCAGACCATCCCATTCTGGGAAGCAGTTGCCTTCTGTAGGGGGAAAGCAGAAATAAGCTGCAAATGAAGAACATGAGAAAAAGCAGGAAAGAGCACAGTGTGTGATCCTCGGGGGGGGGGTTAATGCTTTCAAAATTACTTCCCTCCAAATGAGTCAAGAACAGAGCATTTTCTGCCTAAACGGAAGCTAAAAATATTCTCCAATTTGTGTCAGAATCAATGTGAGCATTCAAGCAACTCCGATTTACAAAGAAACAACTTTTCATATTTCATGCAGTTACAACAGCACATATCTTTGGGTCATCTTATTTTGTTCTATGGCAATTTAACAACTGGTCCCTGGATCCTGCAATTATCATCTGAGGCAGCAACACAAGAAAGGGTCTTTTCTGTGGTGGCTCCCCACTAGTGGAATGCTCTCTCCAGGGAGACTTGTCTGGCACCTTCATTGCATATTTTTCAGCACCAGGCGAAAGCGCTTTGGCTAATTAAACAATCTATGGCCTTTTAAACTGGGGGAGTTGTTGTGTGTTTCTATGTTATGTATTTTTGTGTTTTTGTATTGTAAACCTCCTTGTGATCCTTGGATGAAGGATGGTAAAGCAATTCAAATAATTAACAAACAAACAAATAAATTAGTCAGAGTGAACACAAATTCCAAGAATGGTCTCAAATGCTTCTAGGTTGATACTGCCCCCAAGAAAATTGCTGTTTCCCCTGGAATTAAGTAATTTGATATGCATTTTCTGTGGACTGAATCAACACCATTGCCTCACGATAGTGAACAGAGACCTGGAACAGATTGACTGCCGTTATGCATTTTCTTAACAAAAGCCTCAGCAAAGAGAAATATAAAACAGTTTCAAGATATAGATAAGAAAAAAATAATATTCTGCAGACTCTCTCTCTCTCTCTCTCTCTCTCTCTCTCTCTCTCTCTCTCTTCATGCTTCCCTGTTTCTTCTGCCAAACATTTCCCCCCAATTGATTCTCACTCTTTCCATTTCTTCCAATTGTTAAGCTGCTGCTCCTTCCTTCTATTCATCTAGCTTCTCCTCATCAAGTCTTTGCCCAGTTGTTAGACAATGAAGTTGCTGATTGCTCTTCTGTCCCCTGTCTCCCAGCCCACCTTTCTCTGAACACCTTCCTCCTCCTCCTCCTCCTCCTGTTATCATTATTTCTTGCACTCTGATGGTAATTAAAGCTATAATGGTATTTTCCCATCCAACCTTAAATCTGCTTTAGAGTTTCTTCCTTTTAGGGAGGGGAAAAGCTCTTAAAGCTTGTTTTGGCTAACTAACATCTCCCATTTCCTTTATTTTAATTTGAAAATGTAGTTTTATCTCGGTGTTTGGAATTTATTATTATTTCACAGTGCAGTCCTGTGTGTGTCTACACAGAACCACACTCTGCTATATTCATCGGGGTTCGCTCCCAGTTTGCATAGGAATGTAGTCTTACTCCCAAGTCCTATTTATGTATGCGACGACAGCGGCAAGAATGTTATATGCCCAGGGATGGAAGGAGAAAGAACCACATCGAAATAAGAATGGATATTGAAACTGATGAACTATGCCGAAATGGCGAAATTGACTGGGAAGATTAGACACCAAGAGGACAATAAATTTAGAAATGAATGGATTAACTTTATAGAATATATGAAGGAACATTGTAAACATTTAAAAACGTTAGCAGGATTGGATTAGCACTTGTAATATATTCTGATAGAGGGTATTGAAAAAGGAGATTTAATAGATTGGATAAAAGTATTTAGTCGCAGAAAAGAGAAGAGACGATTATTGGAAACTGGGGAGAGGAGTGGGGGGAAGACTGGGGGTCGGAAGAACCCCTATAAAGATATTGAATTTGTTATGGATGAATGCAAATAATACTGTATGCTAAAAATTTCTGAAATTAATATAAAAATAAAAATAAAATAAAAAGGAATGTAGTTTTACTCTCTTTTGATCTTCATTGGACTGAAGGTGATTTGGGGGGGGAGCACCTCAAACTGCAGTTTTTGTCAAGAAACTCTAGGCATGTTGTGGCTAACATGGTGTGTATGAGGCTTTGGAAACTAGCAGTGGGAGCACATTGGATGCCAGAGTAAGCAAGAATGTGAACAAGACCTTACAAATGCTGTCTGGAACGGGACGGGAAAAGAAAACAAGTTATTTAGAAACGCCACCTCCTTCTTCCTGTAGCAGAGACGTGATATTTAGTTCGCACTGAAGTTTGGCCTCCAGGAGAAGATAAATCTGGTCCTCCATTGTGACGGTGTCATCGAAGTCATCCTGTCAAACACAAACCCAGACAGAAATAAGGTTGGTGAAGAAGGATCTTCTTTTAGGAGAGAAAAGAAGGTAAACAAGCGAAGCTTTCATATTTCATAGTGGCTGCACTTTCATTCTGAAGTATTTGACACATTTTAAAGTAATAAATTCCCAGAGCTTTGGCCGTGGTTAAGACACCAGGACTTTACATAACCTGATCTGCCTTTGATTGTGTCACCTCAGGTTTCCTAGTAACAGTTCCCAAATTTATGAAGAGGCAGACATTTCAGCTTGTTCCAGCAGAGCCAGTTACTTAAGAATCTGCTTCATGTGCTTTCTGCTCTGCAACATCAAAGCAGTGCCAGATCTACACAGTGCCAGATCCCAGTACGTTTCCGAGCACGATTCAAAGTGTTGGTGCTGACCTTTAAAGCCCTAAACGGCCTCAGTCCTGTATACTTGAAGGAGCGTCTCTACCCCCATCGTTCAGCCCGGACACTGAGATCCAGCGCCGAGGGCCTCCTTCTGGCGGTTCCCTCTCTGTGAGAAGTGAGGCTACAGGGAACCAGGCAGAGGGCCTTCTCGGTAGTGGCGCCCGCCCTGTGGAACGCCCTCCCAGCAGATGTCAAAGAGATAAATAATTACCTGACATTCAGAAGACATCGTAAGGCAGCCCTGTTCAGGGAAGTTTTTAATATGTAACGCTGTACTGTTTTTAACACTGATTGGGAGCCGCCCAGAGTGGCTGGGGAAACTCAGCCAGATGTGCGGGGTATAAATAATTATTATTATTTTGCTATAGTGGGCAAAGGCCTGCAGTGACAACTCCCTCTCTTACAGGTCTGTGTGCCCCTACACTGTCCCCCCCCCAATCTGCCACTTGGGACACAGCAAGCCCGGGGGGGGGGCTCATTGTCATCTGGGCAGCCCAGGACCTCCACACTCATTGCCCAGACTTGCGCCCCGGGGAGGTCACTTTGATTTGACTTCCCGCCACCCATGCCTGCTCACCGTGGGCCTGAGCTGCTCTGCCGCCTTCGCCAAGGAGGGGTGGGGATGCCCGTGGAAGCCAGCTCCTGTATGGGGGCACCTGGTTGTGCCCCTCAGAATTTGGTATCCAGGGTCGTGACCCCCCTCCCAGCCTCCTGCTAAGCTACTGCTCAACAAATATTACTATTGCTAAATGGGAAGAAGCGGAAGGATTCTTACTGAAGAAAAGACTTCTTGTTTTGGATAATGAACAGAGATGCCTGCGTGACCCTCCACTTAAAGGGTAAAAGGACCCCTGACCATTAGGTCCAGTCGTGGCTGACTCTGGGGTTGCTCCGGTGGGAGCAATAAAGCGGTGCTCATCTCGCTTTATTGGCCGAGGGAGCCAGCGTACAGCTGGTCATGTGGCCAGCAGGACTAAGCCACTTCTGGCGAACCAGAGCAGCACACGGAAACGCCGTTTACCTTCCCACCGGCGCGGTACCTATTTATCTACTTGCACTTTGATGCGCTTTCGAACTGCTAGGTTGGCAGGAGCAGGGACTGAGGAATGGGAGCTCACCCCGTCACGGGATTCAAACCGCCGACCTTCTGATCGGCAAGTCCTAGGCTCTGTGATTTAACCCACAGCGCCACCCGCATCCCCGACCCTCCACTTACTGCAATAAATGAGTTCAGCAAGGTGGATCTGAGCTTTCTGAAGCAGTGGGGAGAAGACCCTTCACTTTGAAGAAACCTGGTAGTGGTAGATTATTATTGCAGTTTATTTTGAGCTAATCCTAGGAGGAGATGGAAGACGCTTTTGAATGTAAAAAGGGCATTACCACCAGCCTTTCATTTTGGTATGGACAGGTTAGCCTTTGGAGACTTCCACAGGCAATATACCATTATCAAGTCATTTTGGAAAGGGCAGTTTCCTTCTGACAGCAAGCAGAAAACACAACACCTTCCTCCCAAACTGCCCGTGAGATCATGTTTCCACATCACACACACACACACACACACACACACCCCGGCTTTCTATTCTAGATTTAGGCTTCATCCTCATTGGGGATGGATGAGTCAGCCGACTGCCAGATTGTAATTATTGAAAGGTTTGGGCAACTGTTTCCCTTCCTGAATTTACAGGTCATGGTCGGACTGCCCACAAACTCTGCAGGGGCCCTCTTAATATAAACAATGCTTCTAAAATATTTGTTGGAGAAAGTCTCTTAATGGAGTCAGGCTTCCTGGTTTCTTAAGTCCCAGGGAAAACGAACTGCTTGACCTCCTGCTTGCCAGCCTGGAGCTGCTAGTTGGAAAGCACAATTAGCACTGCAGATCTGCCCAAGCCAACAGAGCTGTCCTCTGACTCCAGCACTGGCAAAAATCAATACTGTATTAAGCAAAGGCTGCCAAGGCATATGTTAAATACTTGCAGACAGCAAGATAAGGCAGAGGAGGAAAAACGGCCCAGAACAGACTCATGTTCCTATGAAATTCTCTTGATTTATAGCACCGGTCACAAAGCAATTTAAATAATGCCACAGAGATAGAGAGATATTTTCATGCATAGGGGTTGTGAGTTCAGCCACAGTCACTGCAGGGCCTCTGCTAATAAAATATCAAGGGGTGGGGAGCTGACTGGAGTGTTTGGGTGTTGTTAAGGTAAAGGTAAAGGTACCCCTGCCCGTACGGGCCAGTCTTGACAGACTCTAGGGTTGTGCGCCCATCTCACTCAAGAGGCCGGGGGCCAGCGCTGTCCGGAGACACTTCCGGGTCACGTGGCCAGCGTGACATCGCTGCTCTGGCGAGCCAGAGCCGCACACGGAAACGCCGTTTACCTTCCCGCTAGTAAGCGGTTCCTATTTATCTACTTGCACCCGGAGGTGCTTTTGAACTGCTAGGTTGGCAGGCGCTGGGACTGAGCAACGGGAGCGCACCCCGCTGCGGGGATTCGAACCGCTGACCTTTCGATCAGCAAGCCCTAGGCGCTGAGGCTTTTACCCACAGCGCCACCCGCGTCCCTTTTTTGGGTGTTGTTAGCTGCATACAAAAAATGTCGCCTTTGTCCGATGTGAATTAATCTAAAATAACTACCTTGGTTTCACGCTCCATCGCTAACCTAGATTAGAACTTTCCATCCCCCTCAAGCATCAACTCACTAATGGGGAAGAAGCACCCATTTACAGTGGTACATCAGGTTAAATACGCTTCAGGTTACATACGCTTCAGGTTACAGACTCCGCTAACCCAGAAATATTACCTCGGGTTAAGAACTTTGCTTCAGGATGAGAACAGAAATTGCGTAGCAGCGGCGCGGTGGCAGAGGGAGGCCCCATTAGCTAAAGTGGTACTTCAGGTTAAAAACAGTTTCAGGTTAAGAACGGACCTCCAGAATGGATTAGGTATGTAAACAGAGGTACCACTGTGATTCTAAGTGATTCTGAGTAAGCACTATAAGAGTAAAACACCTTTTACTTCTGGAATGTGCAGCCGGTGAGTTTTACTGTATTCATGCAACTTGGAAGATGAAGACAACCACCACTGAAGACTACAGAGTGGCCTTTCATGATGATAAATCAGTGGCGCCTCCCAGCTGCTGTGATACAGTTAAGCACACTGCTAACTCAGCCACCCAGTTCCCCTAAAGGGAGGCACCACCACCCCTCACCTGGGCGACCAGGAGCCCCTCTTTGTCTAGACCCTTCATGTATCACTCTGGTCTGCTTCTAATGGGATCAGCATACTAGGAGGTGGAGGGGAGAGGAGTGCAGTATGGGGTTGAGCTAGATGACCCTCGTGGTCCCTTCTGACTCTACAATTCTGTGGTTCTACCACAGGTGTGGAGGGGACTCCATTTAGACTCCTTTCTTTAGTCATTTAGACTCTATATGTTAGACACTGCTTCAAATGGATGTTTCTAAGGGCTCATCCAAACTTCCTGGACCCACGCCAGTAGCAAAACACACAAGGCGCCTGGCTAATTTCTAACACTGCAGATCAGTGGCCAGCGGTGGACCTCAAATTTCAGCAGCGCCCTGTGTGAAGCCAAAATTTGGTGCCCCTCCCTGCCTCTTGCCTTCCATTCTACATAATAGTTGCGGCACCCCTGAGACTTCACACCCAGTGCGACCAAACCGGTCACACTCCCCTAAATCGGCCTCTGCTGTGGCCTTCCTGACATTGTTTCCACCGGTCCCAGCCAGCAGCATCAATAGCTAAGGGTGACAGAAACTCAAGTTCAGCAACATCTGGAGGGACACAAGTTCCCCATGGCTGCATTAAATGCAACTCTGGGACTCTCTCCCCCCTTGACAGATTTCAGTAAGGCTCCTATGGGAGGGGATAGCAATTCATGCTGGTAACTGGGCAGGACCCCTAAGTGTCAAATGGGGCATGAGACCTATCCTTCTCACACCTGGAACAGCCCCTGGATGGGGCAGGGAAGACTTTCACTGGCAACCATGAATATCCCTGCGTTTGTAGGCTACAAGGTGTTTTCTTAATGCACTTATTAAAAGATGCCTGCCTGCCTCACATTCACTTTTTCAGGTATCAGAATTGCGAGCAGTGCCTTCAAAACACATCAAAATCTGAAATTTGTTTCATGTGAGTAGTTCCACAACATCCAGGCTCCTACAGGCGTCTGAGATGGAGACAATTTGCCTTCCATCTGGCCTCAAAGCCAACAATCCAGTTCAGTGCCAGACAAGCTACAGGTGGGACAGAAAGGGCCAAATTCTAAACCAGCCTGAGTGCAGTATAGAGCTGCTTACATTAACAGCAGCCAAGAATATCTTAAATCTTGCATGGTTCTTTAAATGCTTTTTAAAGAAAAAAAAAACATGTAATCCTCTAGAAAAGACTGATTTACACTTAATGGTTAAAAAAAAAACACCAGATGGCAAAGTGTAGCACAAAATACCAGCCAGCATTCCAGCAAAACAGCAAGTCAAGCTCCCTTTCCGACAGAACCGGGAGCTGAATCACTCTTGGCTCAGAAGAGGAGGAGGAGGAGAAGGACTGACAGCAGCAATCGAGAACATCTGGCTAAAACGGGACAAGCCACCGATGCAACCAGTGGCGTAGCGTGGGTTGTCAGCACCCGGGGCAAGGCAAGTAATTTGCGCCCCCTAACCCGTGGATTTGCCCTAACCCCAGATGTTGCGCCCGGTGCGGCCGGCCCCCCCTGCACCCCCCACGCTACGCCACTGGATGCAACAGAAATGAGGATTCCCAGGGAATCTCGCTCAAACTAGCAGAATCCTATTTACCAACAGCATCAGTTTACAAATTTTGCTGCCTGAAAGGGGTTTTTCGTTCGCCCATTCCTTGGCTGAAAATCCGTGTAATGAAAACGAACATAGCTGTGAGCGCCTCCTGGAGGCGTTTCAAATAACCCACAAACTTTCAACCAGAATATTTGGAAGGATTCCGAGACCCGTGTAAGGATTCAACCGCACAGCAAAACATCGAGAGATGTATTTCCTATGAAACTAATGCTGGGGGGTCTGAGCAAGTTCCTATCGCGTTTTCTTACAGCCCCATCCTTGGACGGGATCGAATCCCGCGCTGTTCCAATGCAAAGGCTGGCTTTGCGCGTGGCTCAACTTGAGGATTCGCTTGGAGTGAATGTCCGACCCCGTTGGAAGTTGCAAACGCTCAATTCGGCAAAGCTCGCTCGGATCTGGAAGGTGGAGCTACCCAAACCGCCGGTTCCCTCTCTTCCCACCCGCAGCCGGGCAAGACAGGGCAAGAAATGGGGGAAAGTGCGCAAAGTTGGGAAACCCAGACCTTTGGCTAATGAAGCCATCCTTTTAAGCGGCGTGCCGGAGGTTGTTTTTGTTTGGTGTGTCTTTTTGTGCTTTTATATTGTGAACCGCCCTGTGATCCTCGGGTGGCGGGAGGTGTGGGAATTTAATAAATAGTAATAGTAATAATGATAATAATAATACCTGTGCCGATGCAGCCATAGCCAGAAAGCAGCCGCTCACCGCCAGCAGTCCCCAAGAGCCTGGCATCCTGCGCGCCACCGGAGAGCGAAGTTGGAGACGCTTCCGGGCTCCGAGCAAAAGTCACGTCGAATAAAAGGAAAGCGCCGAGGAAACCCGATGGCTAAGATGGGGAACCCCGGAGGCAAGTTGCTAGTCCCTCCCAAGGCCGATCCCACGAGCAGGTCTGGGCTTGTTCTGCGGGGAAGAATCGGCGCAGAAAAGAAACGAGACCCTCCAGCTGCGGCGGCTTCGGGTCCTTCCAGTCTTCCTCCTCCGGTCGAAAGAAAATGCTGCTGCTGCCCAAAGCCTAGCCAAGGGAGACGCACAGGTGCGTTCAAGATGCTGCCCGCAGAGGCGCGCAAGTGCGCTCAGCGCCAGCAACGCGCGTCCGGCAAGCAGGAGGCGGCTGCGGATGCGCGCGTTGCCTCTCCGGATTTCGCCTTTCCTAGACGGGAGGCGGGAAATCCGGGTTTAGGATCCCCCCGCGGCGGGTTTTCCTCTGCTAGCAATTAGCCAGCCTCCCGGGATAAGAAAGGCAACCCTGTCCGGGATCGGGAAAGCCCTGGCCGAGGAGTGCCGAGTAAACGTGGAAGTCAAGGGATGCGACCTAAGAGGATGGTAGGAATAAAATGGGCAGCGCGCACCATGGAGGGGCGCGTAAAGACGCGGGCTCCGCCGCAAGGAAATCACATGGCCAAGGCTGCCTCTCCACCATCCCTTCGGGGGGTGCTATGGGGTCGTGGGTCTCTGCGAAGACGGGCAAAGCTGGAGTGGAGGGTCGGCAACACAGGAGTCCTAGAAAAAGGAGCACAGGAGCAAAACAAGTGCAAAATGACTGCGCACTGGGGCAGGGGGAAATCCGAGCTTCTCTCTCTCTCTCTCTCTCTCTCTGTGTGTGTGTGTGTGTGTGTGTGAGGGAGAGGGAAGAGATATTTTGTTTTATGGCAGTGCTGGATTTACCTATAAACTAAACAAGCTATAGCTTAGGGCCCCACTCTCTGGGGGCCCCCAAAAAAATTAAAGGGGAAAAAACTGGATGTACATTTCCAAAATATAAGATAAAATAAATATTACTTTGATAAAATACATATTTTGTTATGTGCAAATGGCTTTAGATACTAATTAGGTCCATAAATTACCATATAGCATATACCTCGGGTTACATACGCTTCAGGTTACAGACTCCGCTAACCCAGAAATAGTGCTTCAGGTTAAGAACTTTGCTTCAGGATAAGAACAGAAATCGTGCTCCGGCGGCACGATGGCAGCGGGAGGCCCGGAGGTTAAGAACGGACCTCCGGAACGAATTAAGTACTTAACCCAAGGTACCACTGTATTTAAACACAAAAAACTGCGACAATTTGTTGTTGACAAAGAACAGCTGGACATATAAAGGGCCCCATGACCTTCAGTAGCTTAGGGCCTCATCAAACCGAAATCTGGCCCTGGTTATGGGGTCAGAAGTGGTTAACTGACCAGGAAAGAGATCTTGGAGTCTTCCTAGATAGCTCAGTTTAAACATGTGGCACCTGTGAAAAGGGTAAATTACATATTAATGTAATTTACAGCCAACTTGCTTCTCCAGCATTCATCCTGATAGGCTTCTACAGAGCTTACACGGTGGTTAGCCTAGGTCCAGTCCTTGCTTAACTGGTTCATATGACACTGAGCATTCAGCCGGATTTGGTTGTGAGGTGTTTACACTCCTTCCTGCTACCCATCACACGCTTTGCAATACATTTCTTCACTACTTTCCGAACCACAAAAAGTCCAGGAATTTTATTTTTTTATGTTGGGCTTTCAGCACTAGGTCGAAGGAATGCTTTGATCCACTTCAAAAGTGCAAACCTTCCAGTATACGCTTGAATCCCTCTTGCAAAATAGTCACCCTAGGAATGGTATTGCCACACCTCCAGAAGGTATGGTAGAGCTTTAACAGGTGCATAGAATGGCAACTCAAATGGCATAAGTCCCTTATGGGAAAATTGAAAAGGGTTTAGAACTTCTTAGTTTGGTGGCATACAAAAGATGAACAAGTTAAATCTGTAATGAAACACTGGGTGAGAGAGATCTGTGGCATAATATTCAATTTTCAGATTGGGAAAAGTTATGGAAAACTGACTTAAAATTCATGGCTTGTTATACGCTGAAAGAAAATTATATGGAAATGATGTACTGGTGGTATTTGACCCCTAGCAAGCTAGCAAAAAGGGACGAGGGTGGCACTGTGGTCTAAACCACTGAGCCTTGGGCTTGCCAATCAAAAGGTTGGCGGTTCGAATCCCCACGACGGGGTGAGCTCCTGTTGCTCAGTCCCAGGTCCTACCAACCTAGCAGTTCGAAAGCATGTCAAAGTGCAAGTAGATTAATAGGTACCGCTCCGGTGGGAAGGTAACCGGTGTTTCCGTGTGCTGCTTTGGTGTCGGTGTTCTGTTGCATCAGAAGTGGCTTAGTCATGCTGTATGACCTGTAAAAACTGTCTGTGGAGTGGACAAACGCCGGCTCTCTCGGCCTGTAAAGCGAGATGAGCACTGCAACCCCAGAGTCGTTCACGACTGGACTTAACTGTAAGGGGTCCCTTTACCTTTACCTTTTAAGCTAGGAAAAATGTGTAAGACAAGTACAAATACTTGCTGGAAATATAAAAAGAAAGAAGGTGCCTTTTATCATATGTGGTGGTCATGTAAGGTAATAAAAGCATTCTGGGAAATGATATATAATGAACTGAAAATAATGTTTAAAATAACTTTTGTAAAAAACAACAACACCAGAAGCTTTATTATTAGGAATTATAGGTACCGACATACCAAAGGAACAGAAAAGACTTATGTACATGACAACAGCCGCATGGATGTTATTAGTCCAACGAAGGAAAGAAGACAAAGTCCCTATCAGAGAGGAATGGCAAATTAAGCTGTTGGGAGTCCACCAAAATGACAAAACTCAGGAAACCAAGATGAGAAAAACTTTAAGAAAGAATGGGAAAAAATTAAAATTGACCTAGGAGACCACTGCAAGCACATAATGGCATTAGCAGGATTTTAATAACACTTGTAACCAACGCTGTGGTTAATATGAAGAGATGCAATACATGGATTGTGAAATAATATGCAGATGAAGATGTTGACAATTGGACCCATGGAGCGAAGGACCAGGAAGTCGGGAGATTCAGAGAAATCTCAATATAAGGTTATATACTTGGTATTCTTATAACTTTTTGTTTGTAAAATAAAATAAATATATTTCAAAAAAAAGAGAGAACTTCTTAGTTTGGGGAAAAAGCAGGGAAGGGCATCATAAAGTCTTAAATTATGTATGGTCTGGAAAAAGGAGAGCTGATAAGTTTTCCTCCCTCCCTCATAATATCCCCTGGAGTCATGCAATAAAGATGAATTTTTGGGAGATCCAGGACAGGAAGTGCAGTACATCTCCACACAACACAGTTAAGCTGAAATTTGTGACCACAAAGATGTAGCGATGGCCGCCAGATTACTTTAAAAGGAGATTAGACAAATCTATGGAGAACAAGACTCTCAATGGCTTCTAGGCATGATGGTTATCACAAAGGGAGACCATGGGCCTCTGAATACCTGCTGCCAGGAAGTACAAGCAGGGAGAGTGATGTTGCCTAGCCCCCAATTTCCTGGAGGCATCTTTTGGACCACAGTGGGAAACAAGAATGCCAGACTAGATAAGCCTTTCACCTGATCCTGCAAGGCTCTTAATCGTCTCCTACCTCAAGGTAAAATTATATCCCTCCTTCAACTGCAAGCCAACCTCTTAAGATGGAAAGATCATTATAGAGTCAATTAATTAGTGGCATACATTCCAACAGAAGGTTGACTCCTTATTAATGCAAAAGATGAATGTTTAATGCAAAAGTCTCTGCAAACTTCAAAGGTGTCTGTGACATGGATTTCCAGAGGGGGGGCATGCAAAGTTTCCTAGGCTCTGATTTTGACTTTGGAGTGAAAATGGTATTTGAGATCAAGCGATATCAGAAGCTTTAGAATACATATATCTGCACATTCTGCTACCGCAAACGTTGAAAATAAAGGTCACCCTCAAGCATTTTCAAAGTAAAAAATGGAAAACTCTTGGTCCGTTTGTGCTGCTGCTTGACCTTGCGAAAAGAGCTCAGAGGCAGCTGTGAAGAGGAAGCGAATTAGAGTACAAGTGTGCCCAAAACTGCCACAATGTACTTGGGTCTGTAGTCAAAATGGGGATCCTTTTGGGCAGATCTTGGCAGGGGACATCCTATGGCCTGAGGCCGAAAAGAGATGCTGCGGTTCAATTCTGTCCCTGCACCAAGGTCCGTATAATTCTTTTGAAACAGGCATGGAGCCCACCAGATATTGCTGAGCTGCAACTCCCATCATCCCTGGCCATTGACCACACTTTTGGGGGCTTGCTGGGAGTTGTAGTTCAGCAACATCTGGAGAGTCAAAGGTTCCCCACAATTGTTTCAAAATCCACATTTAGGAACCCTAGAGCAGTTGTCTGTAAACAAAGCTCCCACTGGCTTTTTGTTCCCAATATTGATGCTATACACACACACACACACACACACACACACACACACACAAATGATTTTTCATTACAGTCACCAAGACTTAAGATACGTTAAGGGCAGAATGGAAAAGTTGAGATTTTGTAATATACAGTGGTATCTCCAGTTACGAACGGGATCCGTTCCCGATGCCCAACCGTATCCTGAAACCTTCGTAACCGGAGGCGCTTGTTTTGCGCATGCACGTGGTGCTGTAGAGTGCTTCTATGCATGTGCAAGGCGCGTTTGCAACCCAAACGTCCACTGTCATGGTTAGGGTTTTTAGTGCACACCAAAGAAAAGTAAAGTAAATTAGAAAGGATCTGCTTATATATTCAATATGCTAGTTTGCAGACATGTGAATGGCTCCAATTATCAAACGTCCAGCATCAAAGCACAGCTTTTTTCTGGAAATCATGGCTCAGAATTACCTGGCACTTCAACATTTGCACATTAGTGAATAGCATGCAGCTATGGCAACATCGAATGCCAAGTGCTAAAGGTCAGTGGTGGCTTCTGTCTAGAAGATGAGGCGGTGGCATAAACAATCCATACAGATGCATGAACATTTACATTAAAAATTTGCATATAGACATTTCCAAAATATGTTTACACATTTGAACACAGAAATGAAAGAAAACAGTGTAAAATATAATGGATGACGTAGTGCCTTTCCACACATCTGCAATGGAGTTCTTCAAACATCCCTTGCTTTGTTCAATGGAGTCCATCTTAAGGCAGAGAGTGAATTGTTAGTAGGATCAAGAGCGTTTGGTATGGCAAATACATCGTTGGGACGTTCCATCGACTGTGGGCATCCTTCAGCAAAAGTTTGATGAGCAAATAAAAGTGATCAGATGGATGAAATGGTGAATGAAAGCGGACCAGCGAAGGATGAAATGGGAAGTGGAATTAGAGAGGACACACGAGACTTCAGAGAAAAATAGGGACAAAGGGTTGCCAGAACAAGAGTGTGAAATGGCAGCGCTGGTGGCAACAGATTGGGAAATTCAAGGGTCCTTTGCTTGTGTCATAGATACTAGAGAAAAATAGATTTGACGTCTGTATACTAGTGCCTAACATAGGATTTACCAACCTGGTGGCCTCTCCAGATGTTTTGGAATACAATTCCCACCTGACTGGAGAAGGCTGGCTTAATGCATCATTTCATTAGTTAAAATTAACTTTGTGTCAGGAAAGCACTTAAGGCTAGATTATTACAAA